GGTCTCCACAGCACTCGTCCAACAGTGCATGGGCTTTGACGGTCCCAGTTGTGCAGAACGAGCTGACATGGAATGCGGCATCGGCTTCGAGCCAAGACCCAACACCATGTGCCATGTCCATTTAGACGTATTTGGACACTCCCATGCGCTGCACAGAAGCGAAATGGAAGAGGTGGCCTCAGTTCGTGGCTCGCAAGTCTTAGATCCGCAGAACATGCTGGATGCTTAGTGACAAGAAGGGCACCCCCAACCCCCCAGCCCACTCCCAGTAGACCTCAGCATCAGAGTCTGCGTGACAAGGTCAAACACAGCACGGGCAATGGCCGTTTGTGATTTGCCTTGCGCCTGGCTCAGTCTAGGCAGCATTGAGCAGCTCTTAAACCCTAAATTTGCACATCCTGGGAGGCAAAAATCTTGAACTCAAGTTTGATGGTCAAGGTCATTCTTGCAATCTTCCAACCTATATGGTTTTCAATCCTCTTTGCACTTGAGCGTACAAGAGCTCCTAGCAGATCTGCTCGAAAGCACATCCTGCAGAGTCATTGCTCTTTGCCATGGGTTCCGCGCGGTAATCATTACGGAAGTAGAATCTTGAGCATCCCTATGCCTATGTGAAAAGCTAAATGTGATGGAGAACATGTGTGTTCATATTGACAAGTCGCATCGAAGCGTGCTTGCTTTCGTGGCCGACTCGAAGAGTACGGCCCAAGAACCTCAGGCGTGCCCGCTTGATACCTTTCGAGCGCATGTTCGCTAGGGCCGGCTGTTGGATGACAGACTAGCAACAGACGAGTTAAGCCCGTAGACGCTGCCACCTTATCCGATGGGAAGAGACATTAAAAGGTGGTCTGAGCAGAATGTGCGTTAGCATCTGAAGTGGAGTTAGAATTGTCTGTGTGTTTCTCTCTGTGTGTGTGTGTGTGTGTCTGTGTGTTTCTCTCTGTGTGTGTGTGTGTGTGTCTGTGTGTTTCTGTCTGTGTGTGTGTGTGTGTGTGTGTCTGTGTGCGTCTGTGTGTTTCTCTGTGTTTCTCTCTCTCTCTCTCTGTTTGGTGCATACCCACAGAGCAATACATTTACAGATGACGTCTTGCATGCAGAGCCCAAAGACCCATAAACCCCGAGCGTGAAACAGAGCAGAGACATCAGAGACATGCAGAGACAAACTGAGGCACGCCTTCGCCTGCCGCCGCTTCGGAAGGTACGATGCGACAGGCGCTTTCCCGTGGGTTGCGGTGTAAGGCACTCTGGTACCGGGTAAGCCCAAACCCCTTCAATCAATCATATTAAAGATTTCAGCCCATCCAAACAGCCTAAAGCCTGTAGGCCCTGACGCGCTTAAGATCCATCAGGGACTATGCGTGAATGCACGAAACAGTCAAAGCTGGAAGAGCATCCCTGCAGGTGGCGCATTCTGGGCCGTGTCTCGATTTGCAGTGAGTTGCACTTCACGCTGCGGCAGAACAACGCAAGACGTTGCCTTGTATTGCCATTTTTGCCACCTGCATCCTCGGTACCTGGTACCGTAAGGCAGCAACCGTCGAACACGGCTCAGGAGTCCGACCCCAAGTCATGGTCCCATGACGTCCCATGCGGAATGCTTTTTCCATGCTGTGATATGCTGTGCCTCGAATGCCTCAGGCATGCAGTCATGAACCTGCGGGGGCCAGCCCTCATGCAGGCTATTTCCAGACAAGTGTAGAAGAAGGCCCCGAAAACTGCGCGCTCACCGCGCCAAATGCTCAGTCCTTGCTTGCTGAGAATGTGCCCAGGTGGTACACTGTGACGTTCAGGCAGGCATACGGCAAGAATTGAGGCCCTGGCTCGTACTTGAGAGAACCCCTGGGCTCCTGGCAAGGAGCTCGTGAACACAGCGTGGGGACTTGCGAAGTCAGGGCCGTGCTGCCAGCCTCTCACGGATGCAGCTAGGACAGCACCCCCTGGTGTTTCAAAGTGTTTCCGGTTTCTTATGGCGGAGATAAAAGTCCACGTTCATGCCTAAAACCTCGGAAAGCGATAGGCCCCCCACCAAAAGCGATACCCTCAATCTTGAATCTAGTAGTCGTTCTGCAGAAATGTCATGATTTCGTGGTTGGGTCTAATTCCGGAGTGATACTCAAAGCGATACCCCTACGATACCCATTTGGCCACCCGAAGAGCTGGGCAAAGGCCCTGGCCCAGGTTGAGGGTTCGAAGTTTAGGATTTGGATTTCTGATTCGAGCAGCGAGGGCTCCAGCTCCTAGAAAAGGAGCACTCTCACTCTTTAGTCTATAGGTCCTAAAGAAAGGAAACGGGTTTAGGAATTCAGGTGCATTTAGGGGAGGGTTAAGCAGTACAGCGATAGGTTTTCGTAGTAGCATTGAGCCAAAGTCCCATAAAGCAATAGGCGCCCCCTAAAAGCGATACCCACGATTTTTAAATTAGCATTTACAAAAGTTTGTTTGCGGCTGCTCATATCAAGAACCAAATTCTCACATTAACTTCTAAGGCCAATATATGTTGTGTCAGATAACAGTTCTAATATCATGCTGTGCATCGGGTGATGGAAAGTTGACAAAGCGTGAGTCAGCTCGCAGAGGCATGGGTATTTGGTAATAATTTTAAATTTTTAGGGTACTATCATTCCTAAGAAACAGCGAAAAATATGATATTTGCTAGAGTTCCAAGTTCAGTATAGTTGCCCAGAGCGGAGCAGGAGTCGCATGGCGGCTGAAGTATGCACAAAGTCGTTTAGCACGTCGTTATGCTGTGATGGAGTCATACGTATGGCATATGGAGTCCATACGGCTCACCGTAAATGTAAAACCAAAAGACGACTTTCTAAAGCACAGTTGCAAGCCGAAATTCTGATGCTAGCTGCAGCTTTCGTGCACAACGCGCACCAGAAGTTGCGATTTGCAGGACAGAGGCTTCGCGAAAGGCAGCCAGGCGACAGATACCCAGGAATGATGTTTGCTTCGGAATTATGCCAAGTGCCAAAGTGCTGGTTGCCAGGTACACGCCACGGGATTTGGCCAACAGCTCCTGAGCACCTGGAGTTCTCTTGGTGGTGAGCAAGCCTTCATTGAATGTGATGGGCTAGCAGAGGCCAGTGACATCGTCGACGAATACTATCAGCTTGTCGGTTGAAAGTCGGAGTCGGTTGCCGTGCTCGGAGGCAGATGAAAATCTACGAGGGTGACTCGCAGGCAGTGGGAGGTGGGAGCATATGGCAACATGATCAGTATTCATCGATGAAGGCCATCTCCAATGTGGCCTGGGCGTCTGGGACACCGCAGCATGAAGACCAGGAGCTGGTACCAGTAGCCCTCTTCTGGGCCCTTGCTCAGGAAGCCAAATTCCGTTACCATAAGTTGAGGGTACCAGTTTTCATTCTGTAGCTTCAAGTTAAGTTCCTGAGCAAGAACCCAGACTTCGTGCCTCTTCAAAGCCTGCCATGACATCGTCTTGAAAGCTGCGAGGCGCCGATGTCATCCTCAGCTTCCGCAGCGCTGCACTCAGCTGGTGGCCTTCATCTTGTGTACAACAGGGTGTTTGATGGTTTGAGTTGCTGGTCTCTAAGAACAATGTGTTCTACAAGCTTGCGTTCTTGGCTTCTGTGAAGCCCATCACTCTTGCGAAGCCGATGGGTTAGAACGAACAAAACCCACATGAACCAATACATGCTGGCTTGCATCTGCATATTTAGCCCAACCTACTTCGGTCCAGCAGCCCTAAAACAAGTACAGGCCCAGGTAAGCAGTCCATGAAAGGCTTTTGCAGATGCAAGCTGGTGCGCCAAGAAGACTACAGAGCCCCTTCAACGCGCCAGTGTACCCGAAGAATGCGCTCCCATCCGGCGGCTTTACCACAAATCGTCTCGAGCACTTCCAAGAATGTTCCACCGGTGTTTGGTCGCAAAAATCATACATAGATCAGAGTTGCGAAAATGCTGCGCTTGATTACTTTGCAAGAGACTAGTGTGTCTCCAGTGGGCAACCATGCGGTCTCCTCGCTTCAGGCATTCCAACACATGCCTGAGTTCGACGAGCAATGATCCCGGAGATGCATGACATAGGGTGACCTCGCATGTTTGTTATTTCCAATTGCGCTGGTCCGTCAAAGGCAGGGTTGTGCGACCATGGCGTTTGCATTCGCCTCGTCGGAAATATTTCGCCAGCAGCCTAGCAGGGAGTGTGTCTTGCATGGCAATAGACTCCCTGGTTCTTCGTTGGGAATTAGGGAAGGAATGAGGTACCCCTTTTTCCATCCCTTAAAGGGTATATACAGAGGGTACCTCATTCCCTCATTCCCTACTGAGAACATCTGAGAACCAGGGAGTAGAACCGAGTGCCCGGCCAGTCCGGGCCACAGGTCAACCGCTGTTCAACGCGTTGGTGTCTCAAGGCATCTCCGCCCGCTGCCCAAAGGTTTAGGGTTTAGGGTTTAGGCTTTAGGGTTTAGGGTTTAGTAGGTGCTTTACTACCATATGCAGACCTTGGCGCCCCAGTCAGGTCCTCCATCAACCTGCCCGCTCGTCACGTGCCCCACAGCTTCGCGATGTTCCCAGTTGCTTTGGCTGGTGCAAGGGTGCACATGGCTCGAGACCGTGCGTGTGATTTTGTGCCACGTGTCGGCAGGTCATTTGCTTGACACGCTGACGGTTTTGATTGAGCGGAACCGCGTCTGGATGGCCGACCTTTGAAGCAGTCTCACCCTTTAGGTTACCAAAACTCGCGCGTCAAAAGGCACGGAGGCCTTGCCAAATGTGGTGTTGGCAGCAGATGGGGTGAAGGCGGTGCGGGGGGGGGGGGGGGGGGGGGCAGGGCGGCCCAAAAATTCGATGGCGCAGCCCGTGTCCGGAAGACACTGTACCAATCAGCAAAAATACAGCATTGTACACCAACTTGTTTTCAATTTCGTTCCCAAAATCGCAGTTTTTTGAGTTGATGGTAGCTGCAGCATTGTTGTACGTTTCTACCTGGCTGTGAAGCTTATAAATTGCTGACGCATTAGCACAGCCATGCACGAAGCTGCTGCTCAGCAGGCGCCACCTTTTGGCAGCAGGATGTTGAAGTTTACTGTCTAGTTCAGTGCTTTTGCGAATCATGTTTCAGGTTCATGCACCCCGTGCCAATGCGCGAACGCCCATTGGCCTCGCAAGCCAACCCGCTGTGAGCTCCAGCAAAGGCAGAGCCAAAAACAGCGGAGGCTAGCAAAAGTGACGAGCATGTCATGGCAGTTCCATGTGCAGGTGTGGAGAAGCGTGATGCAGATCGAGAATACATTCGTTTCGAAGTAGTTGACTTTCATTGCAAGGCCTCGAATCCGAACTGGCGTTCGAACGTGTTCAGCTTGCACCTGGGTCTTGGCGTACTGTGTCGAGGCGCTCTCAAAAGTTGTGCCGGCCCGGCACAAAGACACGAAAGTCTACATGTATTCTGGTGCACTCGCCTACGGCGCAAACCAGGACTGGGGGCGTGATTGCTGTTGTTGCCGTTATTGCTGTCGTTGCTGTTATTGCGGTTGTTGCCGTTGTTGTAGCCCATTTGCTTTGTGTCATGCGAACTCGCAAATGTAGAGTCGAGTGCTGTGCATAACAGTTTACATGACTTTACATGCATGCAGCAGACATGCAAGGAAATAATGTTGCTTCCAGATGAAATCGCTGCGGCCGGCTGTCCAAATGCCAAGCTCGTCCCGGACTGGTCGACAGAGCAGGTGCGATGCTCTGATTCTTCAAGTGTTTGCTCGCCCTAAACCCTAAACCCTAAAACCTAAACTATCTAAACTAAACCCGTTCGGAGGTTCTTCCTTGGGCGTGCCGGCCGTCAAAACACATCGTGGTCAAACGGGTTTACTGCGAAATGGAGGGCATGAAGTTGGGCCCTCGATCCCTTTGTGGCCGCATGCTGGCCGAACTCAAGAACTTCGACGGCAAGGGCTATGAGCTTTTAGCAGGCGACAAGTCGTGCACGTTACCGAGTAGAATCTGAGTTGAATCGAGTAGAAACTCAGAAAACCAGCAGGGGACACGTGGGAACGGCTTGGCTTGACATCCCCGGCGGCAGGTGGTGAGCTTGAGTTCGTCATGGCCAAACGCACCTGGCAAGCAAGGTATCAGGTCTCTGAGACTATCTAATGTCTCAGAGTCCCACTGCGTGCCTTTGTTTTCGCATGCTTTCCACACCTTCCCGCTCAGGCCAAGCTGACTCTGTAGCCTGGGAGCCCATGTTCAATGGCCCTGAAATCTTCACGACTCTCCAGACGCTTGAACGGCATCTAGCTGTGCGCATGTCAGTTCCAGCGCGCGGTGATTGCGGTCCGGGAGCTTCTGCCGGGCCAGGTCATGCAAGGCAATCGACTTCTGCTACGACCTGGAGACCCACATGGATGCTGTGGGGGTGGATATCCTCACAATGTCCCTCCACTTACATGGCCCAGATGTTGTCCCTGAGTGCGTTGCCTCCCCGATTCGAGACCATGATTCCAAACTTGATTCAGACCAGACTTGATGCGGTCTAAGCTAAGAGCACCCTGATCATCCTGTGGCACGGAGGAACAGTGAGTACGGCAAAGGCCAGCTCGAGATTACTTTCGCACCCAAGTTTGGCATCGAGGCGGCTGACATGACTGCCACCTTTCGAACTGGCACCAAAGAGCCACTTGACTCTTTACGAGCATAAGGGACCCCTAGTATACGTATGATGATAGACCCCCAAACAGGAGGATTCCCTTACAATAAGGACCCCAATAGGGCACCCTGATGTTGGAAACCCCCACTCGGTTCAGAGAGCTTGGCAGAGTGCATGTTTGCGTGCCACAAAACTGTCACAAGGTGAAGGTATGCCCCTGCTTCCCTAAACCCTAAACCCTAAACCCTAAACCGTGTGATGAATGACCTGTTCTGAGGATGGCTCAAGACGCGGGCCTTCGTGCGACGTTCATGGCCAAACCTTTTGGAGCGGCGCTCTTGCACTTATCATTTGCTTTGGCTGTCTCGCGTGACTGCACATATTCAATGAAACATCGTCATCTCAACAAGGATCATGGGAATGATTGCGAAAATAGAACAGCAACCATGTTCGCAGAGTGACGCTATGTGGCATTCGACAAAGGTAAGCGGAGTCGGGAATGGTGGACACATGAACTTTTCCATCTGGATGCCTGGTGGTGTCCGAAGCGACGCGAAAGCTCCTGGGTGTTTACCCTAAACCCTAAACCCTAAACCCTAAACCCTAAACCCTAAACCCTAAACCCTAAACCCTAAACCCTAAACCCTAAACCCTAAACCCTAAACAGGCCCTAAACCCTAAACCCTTTTCAGCCAGTGTAAATGGGAAGCGGCTGCAGCCCATGCAGCCCCAGAGCTCAGGATGTCGTTTCCCGGATCACCTCTGGGAAGCTCAATGCCCTGCACTCCTCTGAAGCTTACTTAGCCAATAGTTGAACTTTAAACTTTTTTGGGTTTCCTTCTTTAGTAGGAAGAATAAAGTTTTTAGCTCTTTCTTTTCCCGTTGGCTATTGGAGAAGTAAGGAAGATGCACAAGGCATGTCATCGACCGCCAGGTCTTTCTTGGTAGCTTGGCTTGGAGCAAATTGGGGGGCTTTACGATACTAGGGGGCACCTTCTTGGGGCCCTTATTTGTTCAGGGGATCCTACTATTTGGGGGTCTTTTTTGATAGAAGTACTAACGCAAACCCCCAGATTGCATGAAGGTTGCAGTTGCAGCATTGCGTGCTGATCCTCTAACGGGGTCATTTACTTTGCGCCCCGTGTCTCGCTTCCCTCGCCGCCCGTCTTCGAGAATAGTTCGGTTCAGCTGCAAGACATTCTGTGGCGGTTGCTTCGTGTGCTTCTTCCTTAAATTGCACGGGCCTAGTTTTCCATGTCGAGCGGGGCAACTCTGATTTCGCTTTCACTTCCCGCCGTGCTCAACCTCGTGCACTGGTCACTGGACCAAGCTTCAGTGTACCCAAGGCCGGTATTCTTGCTCATGCCCCAGCCTTGGACTCTTGGCCAAGATCTTGATGGATTTGGTAGTAGGCTTCTCTCGGGGGGGGGGTGGTGAAGGAAAAGGGGGCAGGGCACCATAATTTGGCTCTCTCATGAACATGGCAATCCTTCACAACCTGCAGCATCAAGGAAGCTTTGTGCTCGCCCACGCCGCCCTGCTATTGCCGCCACGGCAACTGGGCGCCCAACCTGGCGAACTGGGGCTTCGACGACCGAACCGCTTGCGTGCGGGTCAAAGCAGACCGTCGGGGTCCGCCTGGGAGCTGCTACATGGAGCTGCGCGGCTATATAGTATGACTATGTATCGTTTGTGGTTCAAAGGTTAAAACACAACATATTATGCAATATTGCACATATATAGTATCATTGTATATTGTACCATGCTGTTGTGTATTCTGTTCTGTTCTCTATGTTTGGAATGGAGTCCCGCGAGTTGTGTCCTTTTTCACTTTGAGAGCGCACGTGCTCAGGCTGCGAATGTCTGAAGCTTAAGCAGTGAGCCTCACGTCAATGCCTGACGAAGCATTCACCTGCCATTTCAGACCCGCTGCAGTCAGGCCTTCCGCTGCAGCAAACCCCTACCTGGCCCTGGCCTGAGCTTATCAATCCTCTTTGGTTCCCTTGGCATTTAGGCCCTGGGGCTTAAGGAGGCTTAGGGTTTAGGGTTTAGGGTTTAGGGTTTAGGGTTTAGGGTTTAGGGTTTAGGGTTGCAGAAACGGACTTCGCAGGTGCTCGCGGGCCTGGTTGCCAGCGGCTTGGATGGGCTTCAACAGGGCATGGACCTCCCGCCCGAGCGCCAGACAAAGGAGCGCTTTCGGAAAGCGCCCAACAGCGATAGGTGTTAAAAAGAATCAATACGTACCGGTAATGACTCTCCAAGCAGTCGTACTTGCTTTCTTAGTGGCCATAGTCATAACGATTATAAGCATAGGAACAACGAAGTAGTGTTCATAGTGATGATGAGCTTTGCCGGGCTGTGAGGCGGATGGCGCGGTTGCGCTGCCGACCACGTTGGAGGAAGCTTTGAAAGCCTTCGAAGCTGATAGTTACCTGGTGCCCCGGCCGCAGCATTACTTTTCCCTCTACTGTACTTCTGCGGCGTCAAGCCCAAGCGAGTTGATGTGGGTTCGTGAGGTTTCCAAGCTCGGCCAGCGTTTCGTGCGGTGGCTTCTCGGTGGCAAAGCTTATTGGGTTGTAATTCCCAAAATCCCTCCTTGTTCTCTTGGGTTCAAGTTCAGGTACGTGGATGTAAAGCGAGCCGAGCTCAAGTTCATCGAGGACGACGAAGCAGCCTTCATGCAACAGTTCAACAGAGCCGTATCGGCTGTAATTTCCACCAGTAGCTGCTGGCATGAGATGTGCTCGAGGAGCGCCTGCGGGGTACCTCAAGCACGGACGAGGTGCCACGGCAGTCAAATGAAGCCCTGCTAGCCTGCCCAGCTATTCGCATCGAGTGTATTTCAGACATGTTGATTCTGTCACTTGACATACACACGTTGCAGGACATCAGTGCTGCCTGGCGGGAGTTGTACTTCGAATGTGTTTAACAAGATCTGAGCATATCGTGCTCTACGCCTGGCATCCTGCTTACTTAGAAGCAGGTTTTGCAGAGCGATGTTTTCAAGGATCTTTTGTCTGGAGCCCCCACAGCAGGATACAGCATGGCGGGCAGTTTGCCTGCAAAGCTCGGCCCGAGTTCTTTTTGGTTGCGTACGAGCAGCAGCCTTCGACATGCAGTGGTGGGCAACCAGGTGAGCAGAACAACAAATGGAGATTTCTCTACAATATGGTCCCTTTTGGGGTCCTGACCACAAAAAGGCCCCTCTAATTTTTTTTAGGGTACCCAAAAAGGATCATTTTTGAAAAATGACCAGATCGTTTCTTCTGCTTTCCCTGTCATTTTGACGCTACGCGACCGCCTCGGCCTGGGGCCCAGCGGCGAGGCAACCCAAACGGGAGACAGCGGGTGTGAAGCCTGTTGAAACACGCAGACCAGGCAGCCCAAGTGTGGCAGTGGAAAAACACGAAACAAGGAAAAACAAGCGGCCGGGAAATCCGAAGGAGGGTTAGGGGAAGTGGGCGGCAAAGGGGGGTGAGGGGTGGGTCGGGGGGGGGTGTTGGGGGGGGGGGGTGTGGGGGGGGGAGGTTAGGCTGGGGGGCGGTGGGGGGGGGGAGCCCGCTCCTCGACACGTGTCAGCTAAGGCTAAGGGGGTTACCCGTTCCAGGCGGGGTTACATAGAGGTGGGCTTTATTCTACGCAGACACCTACGACCCACGAGGCAGACTTAGGCTCAGACGATGAAGCGCTTTGAAGCTCCTTGCCCATAGATGCCATCAGCAACGTTGAAACAGCTGCTGTTGAAGTTTCTGTGATTCTGTGCAGTGCAGGTGTGGCAAGTTGTGTGAATGCAGTGCAGTCGACGCTCTGTTAACTGCACATGCTGAGCTGAATGCTGCGGAATGGTGCCCAAGCTGCGCAGAGCACTGCAGATTTAGCCACCAGGCGCTCGCTACTTACATAGTGTAGAGTGTAGTCCCTCTCTGCACGACGTGACGTGTAAACGATTTGATTTGTTGAAGCCTTCTGGAAATCTAGCCTGTTCAGTTTAAAGACCTAAGAAGCTGCACATTTGTTTTTTGTACAGAGCTCTTTACAGTAAAGTCGCAAGAACAGTGACGACAGCAGCAGCACCGGCTCCTGTTGCTGGGGACTGAACCTGTCACGAAAGGGTTCGAAGATTTTTCGAAACGACTGCCAGAGTTAAAGTCAGGGTTTAGGGTTTAGGGTTTAATTTTAGCCTAAAGTACAGTAGCACCTTTATCATGGAGAAGACGGCTGTGACCTGTGTGTCCTGGCTGCCTCGTGGCACCTGCACTGGACGCCTCACGGGCGCCCAGCAGGAGGAGGCTTGTCAATGCAGTGCTGTGCTGCAACAACCCCTAAACCCTAAACCCTAAACCCTAAACCCTAAACCCTAAACCCTAAACCCTAAACCCTAAACCCTAAACCCTAAACCCTAAACCCTAAACCCTAAACCCTTTGGCATGCCTGGCATGCTAGGATGATGACGACGCGATGAGGGAGGCCGCGGACCTGAACGACTCCCTTGCGCGCGGATCGGTTCCTGGTTTGGAGGACACTTCTGGACCTGTGATCAGCATAAGCTGCTGCTACGTTGTCTCCTGGTGCCCTGAGGAGTTCGACATGGAGAACTATGATAACGAGGCTGATGAAGGCAAGGCAGCATGCTTTGTTCTCAAAAATCGGCTCTTTCCCTTTCGTAGAACCTCGTCATCGAGGCATGCAGTTCTTTTCCGTTCTCGATGCCGATGGCGAGTTGGCACGAGAGAAGGACCCACACATGACCGGAAACCCAGACTCGGACTCAGACTCCGAAGGCCAGATGGAAGCTCATGTAACGTCTACTTGGGGATTCACCGTATTTGTTAACCAATTATAGCTGTACTTCTAACCCACTTATAAGCCGTTTAAGTGCCCCAATATGGTTCGAGTTGGGTTATTCACGTTAAGAGAGGGGGACTTCAATTCAAGCGTCCCAAAGTCAGAGATGTTAAAGAGTTCCCGGGCCTTCACCGCAGCATCGCATGAGCCTTTTGCAGGCGACGTGGAAATCCGACAGGACGACCACGTCTTCGTCGCAGCATCATGCGAGGCCGGCCCTGCATAAGCTTGAGCCGGCTGAGTGACAATGCGAGACATCTGCTCTGGAGGAAGACAGCTGCACCTTAGAGGTGTATGTCTTCGAGGAGGATGAGGTGAACATGTATGTGCATCATGAAATTAACCTTGCAGCCTACCCACTCTGTGTGGAATGGATGGGCCGAACATCGTCCAGCGACAGTGGCTGCTTCGCTGCCGTCGGGTCGATTGATCACTCCATCCAGCCTCTTGGCTGAGGGCTGAAAGGGTTTAGGATGGTTTAGTTGGGGGAGTTCGGGGAGTTCATGATTTTGTGAGCCTCGGCTCCAAAAGCCTTTATCCTCTTGATTCCTGAGCCGAGGCTGTGGAATTTGGAAGAGATGGATCCTCTCGAGCCCGCTCAAGCCACTGGGTGGCGAAGCTGTGTGATGGCATCCTCTGGCTTCTTTTGTCTGAGGGTTAAAAGGCTTGCAATATCTGAGCGTTTTGAGAGCGGAGTGCACCGTTGCTGCCAGTGTTGCCCGGTTGGAAGTTGAACCTGGAAAGGCCTCTGAACCCCTATTAAGGGTTCAGAGTTCAGACCCTGAACTCTCAATCCGAAACCCTCGTCCCTGAAACCTCCCCACGCCAAGGTGCTGGGGTCCCGGAAGGCATCCAAAGCCAAGAGCAAGGCAAAGAGGAAGAAGAAGCCCATGGGGCCAAGCGAGGTGAAGGCCGAAAACTCTTGGGGAGAAAGGGACGATTTCGGGATTTCCCATGGCGCTTAGGTAGGTTCTCTCGTTTAGAGAGACTTCTACTGACTGGTGTTCAGGCGCATGATGGGCCGGCCCGCCACCTCAGTTCTGTGACTTAGGAAACGCCAGGCTTGGTTCCATGCAAGTGTCATTGGGGCACAAGGTACTGTGCTTGCACGCCAGTGCTTTCAACCCCTCCGTGGCCTGTCCGCAAAGAACCCTGCGATGCTCTGCGATGCACGACCTGCTCGAAACACTCGGCCTTCCGGCCTTCGTGAGGTCCTCGCGAGCGGATCAGCTGACGAAACGCTCAAGGCCTCCCCAGCTTGCTTACTCAGCTCCAAGAGACGTGCGGAGCAATGGGTGGTTGAGAAGGATCAACTGCATGGCCCACGCCTTGCAGGTGTGGGACGTCAGTGATGGGTCCTGTGCGCATACTTTCAAGCACCATTCCGACAAGGTCGGGTTCTCAGGTAGCATCGGACCGCTCTTGAGCCAATGTCGGACATCTGACGGCTGCCAGGTACAGTGCGTGAGGCCCGGCTGCTGCCTCTCATGAGTTCTGCCCACTTCTCCATGCAAAGCTCCGTTCCGTTAAGAACTGTAACTGTTGCCTATGCGAGCGTTAGGCCCCTGCCGTTTTTTGCGAATACCCTGCCGCGTTGGCGGAGGTGGCACCCAACTGAGCAAGCAGTACTTCTCACAGCCGCCTTTGACCGGCAGCTGGGCTTGCTGGACGTTCGCCAACCGAAGCAGGTGCCCACAGACATGCATGCCATCGTGCCTCATCGGCGTGTGCATTGAACGGCTCAGCTCGCCTGCACCGCTCTCTGGCTAGTCGCAATTTTCTAGCGAAGCCCTGCTGCTTTTGCGGAGCTCGTTTTTCTTTCTTTCTTTTTCTCTCTCGCTCTCGCTCGCTTTCTCTCTCTCTCTCGCTTTGGCGCTCGCCCTCGCTCCCGCTCCCGCTCTCTCGCTCGCTCTCGCTCTCTCTTTCTCGTTCTCTCTTCGTACAGCGTGTGTATGTAAACAAGTATACACAGAACTGAATATATACATGAATGGCTATGAACATGTATGTTTAACTACATATACATATATATGTATATGTAATTTTGAAATTGGGCAGCTGAAGACTCAAGAAAGGCGGCCATGGCTTCGCTGTCGGGCGAGGCGGAATGCGCCATTTGGAGTCGGTCCGTACCCTACAGCGGCGTAGTCTTCAGGGCTATAGGAATGTTTGGAGTTTAGGGTTGGTTCACGCCGAGCTCCATTAGACTCCAGCCCCTTGAATCCCTGCAGCTCAAGGCACCAACCTTTCCAGTGCCTCGCGAGCACGGACAGCGGAGGTGCCCTGTGAGACATGGCGCCCGCGCTTTGTGCCGGCCGTGCTCTGGGAGCTGAGGAGTTTGCTGCTACGATGTCCGGAGAATCGCATCGAAGGCACGGTTAGGATTCAGGGCTTGGGGATGGTCGGGGCAACTTGCCAAACCACTTTCCCAAGTCTAGTTTGGTCCACACTTGCTGTGAGGCCAAGGATCAGGTGCTGTGGACCCTGATGGCGCACGACGTTGCTTGCACGAGCATTCAGGACCGCTTCAGTCGAAGGTGTCGATTGCTTTCCTTTGACTACTGTACCTTGGGATGTTCCCGCCTTATACTACCATTCCTTAAAAAGGGATTCTAGTATCCCCTATCAGAATCCCTATGAAGGACTCTTAGTATCCAAACTCTACCCTACGTAGCCGCAACGCCTGCTACGTGCGCACTTCATCACCCGTGGCTTGCAACGCGAGGATGCACCGTGTCCGGATCTCTTGGTCACTGCAGGCCTGGATGGCCACGCCAAGGTGGGGTCAAAAAAGGGTTTAGGGTTTAGGGTTTAGGGTTTAGGGTAATTAGGGGGTACCTGGGTCCTTTTAGGAACGGATCCTACTATTTGGAGGTCGATTTTATAGGGGTCCCTGATTTTCGTAAACCCCCATGTGAAGAGTCAGAGGGTTCCGACCACCTACCTTATAGATACACCTAGAATCGGGACACCAAGTGGCACAAGGACAGCTAGACATGAATGAGCCCAAGGGTAAGCAGGAAAATTTCCCGTGCCCCCACTGCGCCAAGTAAAATTCCAGTGCTCGGTTTTGACTTCGATTCTCTGTTGTTTAAGAAAGCCCATTGGAGCCACCTCAAGATAGAATGTCGCACCCCTTCACGGCAAACATGTTACGCGATGCAATTCCCCTAGTGAGATTTCTAGGAGATACCCAAATACCGCTGCAGACCTGACGAAATTCGATTCACAAACTGTGCGAATGTAACTTGTGCAGCGAGTGCCGACATCGCAAGGCGTCAACGCGCAATTTGATGTTTGATCGTATTTGAAAAGCTTTGCAGTCCAGATTTCTAGCTTGCAAGACCTTGCAGGTTTTTTCACGTCCGAGCTTTTACAGTAGAAGTTACTCTGCAGTTCTGTCAGTATGACACGTGTTCCATGAAGGTAGCGCAAAGTGCACCGTTTCTTGCTTGTGCTCTCCGATACAAGCGGGTGGTTGTAACGTAGCATGTCCAAGCCATGTGTGCGCGGGGGAGATCTTTCAACCGAGTTCCATTCACACCCTTCTAGAGTGCCTGCCACCAAATCCACCCCCAAACCCTGAGGTGTGGAACGTCGCGGGAGCGGGCCCCCAAATGGTTTTGAGCAAGAACTTGCATGCGGGCCCGCTGCAGCCTCAGGGTTGCCAGGGGATCTGTGGAGGGACGTGATAAGCGCTCTTTGCCTCGTCCTCCTCATGGTCGTGGACTTGGTAGACAGCAGCCGCAATGTAGCAAGGATGGTTTCAAACAACAGGTGAGGTCACGAGTGGTGATTCCACACGTTTGTTTTTGTTTGCCGTATTGGTTAAAGCTCTTGATAATTGCTAGACGAGCGCCGATCCACAGGCTTCTGCCAAAGTTTCTGCTGCACCGACCATGAGCATGCGTGCAGAGGATCTTCACGTGCCAGAGCAATGCGGACATGCCTGGCCTCATGTGCGGCACCTGATCGACACGTCACGGGCCGTTCGTGCTTCGTTGCCAGACGGCGCATGGAAACAGTCTGAGGTGCTTCGGCGGGAAGTGCCCGGTAATGTGGGACTTGTCAAGCGAACAAATTCTCCTTGATGCGTGAAGAGCTTAGACTGTCTTGCTTGTGGCCGCTTGTGATGAGTGTTTTAGGGTGGCACTGCAAGCAAGTGCAATCGTACTTCCAGCTCAGGTTCAAGCTGGAGTCCAAGTAACAGGCAACAACATTGATGCGTCCTGCAGCTTCTGGAGTTGGGTGGAGCACGTAGAGCGTAGAAAAAGCGTTGTAAGGTGTTGCGCACCATGATGCTACTCTAAAGCAAAAGCAACACCTATGCGAGGGAGTCTCGCATATGGCACCCTAAACCCCTAAACTCTATGGCGTGCCAAAGATGTAGCGAGACAGGGCATGCTCTGGTGCTTGAGAGCAGTCACTCAGCCTCTCAATGCCTCTGCACAGCTTGCGGTCCAAAATGTGCTCAAAAGTTTCTCTGTCCATGCCAAGCACAGTGTGTCGCAGCCAGAAGCACTGAATCCGATGTCAGCGCCTCGTGTGCTCGAATCAACTCGGATCAAGGAGCCAGAGTTTTCCACAGGACACTTTAGCGCAGCTTGCCAGATAGACCCTGGAGGCTGAGGACCAGGAGTCCCGCTGAGCTTGTGCTCACGCACGGCGTGTTTCTTGTGATGTTCAGAAAGGAAAGAAACTGAGAGAAAGAAGCAAAGTACACATGGGATGAGTAGAGACAGACAGAACTACATAGCGAAGGGTATTAGTGAAATATCAGCCCGGACGAAGAAAGGCAACTTTATACATGCATAATAGGTACCTGATGCCAGAAATACAAAGACAGACATGCGGAACAAAAAGACCATTCCCGGGGAAGAGTCTTTCGCTCACAGCAAGACCGTGTTGCAAAACGGGACCAATTAGGCGCACGTTGAACATCACCATGCAATGCTCAAATGAACTTTGTGCATCAACAGGGCAATGCTTGGAAAATGCTTGGACGAACTCGAACGTCGCCACGAGCGTGCGCGCAGGACTCTGGTGGGACGGTCCCGCTACGACAACAGTTCTGCGCTTTTCGAGCGAAGTGCGTATGGGACAGAGGTGAGAGCGCGATCAGGATCACTGCGGAGTGGACATCCCCCGTAGAGCGCGCGCACGAAACGAACCGGTCGAAGAGTCTGTGAGGCAGGAATTTTTGGGGGAAAGCCACACCTACGGAAATGATCACTGGACTGAGGCAGGAGCATGACCGACCTCCATCACGGAACGCGCGCTGCGAGAGCAGGCTTTGACACACACGACGACGCAGCGACACAGAATGTGCGCCGCCCAAGGTCGAGGACCTCAGAATTGCACTCAGGCATTTGTCAGGCCAAGGCGCAAACCGCATCGAAGCAACACATGGCGGCAGGCCAAAACCCCACAAAAGCAGCACAAGTGGCCGGAGGATGTGTAACCTGCGCACGTCATCGCTGTGGCTCTCAGGAGACCATGCGCGGAGGCGAGGCGCCTCGTTCATGGCTTAGTTTCTCCTGTGAATAGTACCTCTATCCCCCTTGGGAATTTTTTCGTTATATATAACTCAAGAGGTTATTAAACATATTATTTTTATTGAGGTTCTAAGGGGAGTATAGGTACATGTACAGCATTGTATAGCCCAAAACCCAAGCTCCCGAAACCCCGAAACCCTCAGCCGCATCTTCCCCACTGCGGCCCAAGGTCCCGGTCATGGCCGTCACAGAGCAGGCCCCCACGAGGGAGAAATCAAACATCATATCCGACGGTGTGCTATGAGTAATGTGTACGTATGTAGGTATAGATATAAACACATGTTTGATTATATGTTTGTGTATATATATATACACGGATTGTGTAAAGATGATATACAGAAGAAATTATTCAAGTATGCTACAAAGTGTGCAGGCTGAGTCAACAGCGAGTGACTAAGGCTCAGGCCTGCTGATATTGGCTGCCGGTGTGATTCTTGCCCAGTGTCTGAAAGATGCAACGGCCCCAGGCTTTAGGGTTAAGGGCACTTCGAGCCGCTTTGTGCCTGTCCTTTTTTGGGTTTGGCGATTTCAAGGGTCACCTTCCGTTACCAAGGCTGGAACATTCTTGATGCCTGCGCCAGTGAAGTCCCCAGCTGCTGGTAGCCGGAGACAGGGCGCGTTTATTGCAAGAACGCAGTGACATGCGCATAGTGTAGCATGGTGCATCTATTGGAATGAGGGAGCAGTGTATTCTTGAAGACAAGATGTGTTAATGCTGTTCTTTATCTTGCAGATGTGTCAATGCCACGAAGTCTTCAGAAAATATTTTAAGGCCAAGTCAGTCCCGCCACGTGCGCGTTCGATGTCTCCGGCTCTTGCGCATTCTGCAGGCCCTTTGATTGCTCTTCAGGTTTTAGGGCTTCTCATACAGCTTGGAATGAATTTGGACTTTTCTCTGATCTCCATCAACTAGACCCTGAATCCTAAGCTCTTTGCCTTGCTATGCCTTGCTTCGGAGGCGCAGGTCAGTCACTGATGGTTGGGCAGTGGGAGAGTGAAGCTGCAGTCGGCGCCTCATTGTGGTGGTGTAAGCCTGATATTCTCTCCGGGTTATCAGATCATGTGACCTTGTGCTTCAGTCTAAATCGAGAACCTGACGGTCCTTACCCTCGTCCTTCACTTCTCGCACTCATGCACGATGCGAACTAGGGAAGAGTTACTCCACGCCCTCTCATTGCCCTTGGTCCACAGGCCCGCCCGGCTCGCACAGCACGGCAGGCGGGTTTAGGGTTTACAAAGGGGGACGATGATAGCCATGGCAGTTGAGCACTGAATATTTTGAAGTTTGGTGACCTGCAAACCTGTATCCGGAACATGAATCAGAAGGAGGACCCAAGCATGTACAAAAGCGCATGCACACAAGCCATAGCGCGTAGCTGGATCGGCTCATGCGCGGCGACTGTACTTTCAGGCTGGCACCGTGCTCAAGGTCATGCTTGGGGTTCCTAGTGCTCTCATGCTGCCAAGTGCTCAGTCACCATACTCGAGTCTGGTCCAGTGTGCAGATACGATTACAGAGTACATGCCCCGAAGCTTTGTGCATTTTTGGAAGCATCTTAGGCTCAGCACCTTCATGGTGCTTCGTGGCTACAAGCACACGGTCGGGAATGGTACGCCACCAAGGGCGCCCATAGGGGGGGGGTGGGCCTTGCGAGCTGAGTTCCCCAAAACTCCGGGAGCCCTCTGTGAGGTGACGAGATGCAGGAGAGATGGGCAAGCTTCGCGAGGAGGCACCAACCCTGAACCTCAAATCCCCCCCCCAACCCCCCAAAGCCCTGACGGAACCCTAAACCCTAAACCCTAAACCCTAAACGATACTGTTCGGCCCAAGGCCCAACGCTCGGTTCATGTCCCTGATGGCCGGAGCCGCACGGGTCGGCCTCATCGCTCTGCGCGCCAAGTTTACCAGGGCCCTTGCCTTACAACCGAGCAGCTCCTGCGGGATTTGGGGCTCCTGTTGGGAGAGGCTTCTTAGGGTTTCTTTTTTTTTGGGGGCGGGGGGGGGTGGGTTGAGGGCTTTAAGTTCGTTCAGGGCTTCGAGCGTTTATTGGGCCTTGTAGTCAGCCATGGGTCCGTTAAAGCTTAAAGAGCCATAAAGAGCCGCAACAGCGCTGCAAACACTTCTGGGACTTCTGGGCATTCTCCCTTTCCATCTACGAGCCCTTCTGAGTGTCAAGATTCAGCATGTGAGTGGGCCTGCGTGCTGCGATGGGATGTCTTGAATTCTTCGCAGGATGAAGCAAAGAAGCCACAACCTTGGCAACGTCTGGCACTACCATTTTCTTACCTCCTGTATAGTCTGTGGAACATCTGCGAGTCCTGTTCAAGCGTGTGGAAACACCAGGTCTGCCATCCACACCAAAGCTGGCAAGAGAGCTGTGACAGAGCTTCTGGCATGGGTTTAATTCATTGTTCATGTTCTCGATGTTGCTTCCCCATGCGACATGGCTCGCAATGTTCTGTGCAGACTTTCTAGCAAATATCTTCACTCTGCATGCGCGTGGCAGGAACTCGTTAGACTTGGCCCCACCTACGTGAAGCTGGGACAGATTCTCTCCTGTCGTGAGGACGGGCTATATGAGGGCAGGTTCTGCATCTGGCGAATATGCATCTCTTGTTTCCTTGAGACACTCCGAGGGACCATGCCGCGCACAGTCCCATGCCCACAGGATCTTGTGCGCAAGGAGTGCGACCCACTGGGTTTCGGCGGTCCTGCATTATGGGGGGTTGTGCAGCAATTTCTGCGCCTGTTGGGATCTTGGGGTACAGCAATTTCATCAAGCAACTAAAGCCCCATCGGGTGTGCAAACGTATTCCGGTTTTAATTGTGGGTTTAGGGAATGTGGTATTTAAGAGTCCCTTTGGTACCCTAAACCCAAGACCCTAAACCGCAACACAGCTTGTGCAACATGTTCCCATTGGCGAGTCGATCGGAGGGGCTGCGGGCCTCCTCAGGAACGCAAGCAAACCGCAATGCCATGAGTCCAGAAGCCTAAACCCAGGGCAACATAAGAATGAGTCTAGAGCCGTCTAAACCCTAAAAATGACTCTAGAAGAGCCTCTAAGCCCTAGAGTCTAGAAGAGCTCCAAACCCCGAAAAACCCACGAGCCCAAAAGAACCTCTAAGACTCTGAGCCCTAGACCAATGAGTCCAGACTCCACTGTCAATGCGGCTGCTAGCCGATGAGCCCACATGGTGGAATGCGAGTCGCCGCGCAACCTCAGGCTGCAGTCGGGTTTAGGGCTTAGGGTTTAGGGTGTTAAAGGGGCCTTAATTCGTCCGAGGGTGTTCGGATTTTTGGGGTGTGGCTGTGTGGTTTTGTGTGCTTTTGGTGTTTAGATGTGGGGTTCTTGGGTTTGCACCCTAAACCCTCAACCCTCAACCCTAAACCCTAGACGAGGACAGCTTCCGGCTGAGAGCCCCCTTCCCCTCTCTCCCCCCCTCTGCCTGACCAGGCTGCGACTTGAGGCTGCCTTGCAAGTCCTGGCAGACGGCAGGCTTGGAGTTTGGGGTTGAGGGTTTAGGGTTTTGGGTGTTTAGGGTTTTGGGTTTAGGGTTCTGGGTGTTTAGGGTTTAGGGTTGAGGGTTTGGGGGAAAGGGTTTAGGATTTAGGGCCGGGTGTAGTAGGGTGTAGGGTTGAGGTTTTGGGGGTTCAGCGTAGGGGTTGGGTTTGGGGCTAGGGTTGAGGGTGGAAGAGTTTACGATTGCAGCGTTTAGGGTTGATTCTGGTTGATCAAACTCCGGGCCGCTTTTTTCTCGGAATACCACTTTAACAGACATCTTACTTGAAGAGGTGTAGAACTGCCTTCCCACATTCTGGAAGCACTTGCTGGCTCCTCGTAGCGAAAGAGGGTTTTGTTACGCTGTCATGTCCCTTAAAAGGAACCCGCTCGCTGGTTTTCTAGCGAATTCCCCGTTCCCTACGAAGCACGAATATGTTCACTCAAGACTCTCTTGTCACAATGCGGTGGCCGTTTCGGACTAGTTTCGTTGTTCTTCAGGGCGCGCGCGGTTCATGGCCAAGAAGGGCTCGCGTTGCTGCAGCGATCGCTGAAGGCCGTGTGCCGATAAAGAATTCCCCTAAACCCTAAACCCTAAACCCTAAAACGAGGGTCAGTCGGGGGATGTCTCTGACAGGACGCAGAGCAGCGCCTGGGCGTGGACTTAAGGGAGGTGCAGGCCGATCACATGCGGAAAACAGGAAGCTTCCCTAAACCCTAAACCCTAAACCCCTTTCTGAGCCTCTCAAGTTGCGAGTGTGAAGGAGAGCACGGTGGAGTATGCGGCGATGTATGCCAAAAATCCGGAGGCTCTGGGGAAGTGAGGGGTGCCAGTGCTATAAGATAGCTCTACACTGCATATCAAATTCTCACGTCAGGTCCTTGGGGGGATGCTCCATCTCGTATTTTGCCTGGATCTGGTTCACCAGTGGGTGCAAAGCAGGGACGACCAGATCAAGGCCTGCCTGGGCAAATGGGGGAGAAACTGCAAAACATTTTTTAGAGCAAAACTTTGAGCGTACAAAGAGCAACAAATTTAGCTGCTTGCACTCATGAGCACGCCGCACCAGGAAATGGAGGAGAAGCTACAGGAGGCACAGCGGAGCATGGTCCAGTGCCAGACCAAGCTAGGCCAAGGGAACACATACGGCGAATCGCCATTCGACGGCTTACCATTAGACGTCTAAACCCCTAAACCCCAAACCCCTAAACCCCTAAGCCCCTAAACCCCAAACCCTAAACCCCAAACCCCAAACCCTAAACCCTAAACCCTCAACTCCTGAGGTGCACAAGCCTCATGGACCAGCTGAGCCTGGATGTGAGAAGCTGCAGCGAAAGCCTTTCTGACAAGACCTCAGAGGGCCTCAGAAGTGCAAGGTGCCGTCGTAGAATATTAAACTTTATGAGATTATAATATTATTATGGTACAAAAAATAATGTCTTATAATATTATTATAGTATAAAAGCAACGTTTGTAATTTCAAGATGATAATGCCGCAAGAATGCCTTAGAAGTAGACAGACAGCTTTCAAGTCGATGCAGCTGCGGATAGCTGCGGGCTCGAGCCAAGCATGCCCGTCTGTGAAGGTACTTGTATTGCCTACAAGGTGGCTGATCGTGCTAGACTGACAGGTACTCAGAACATCTCAGAACTAAGAGCTTTCTCTGCAGCCCCGGAAACTGGTAGCAGGCAGCTGACGTGTTGTGTGAAGGCATGCGAAGGCATGTCCAAAGGCAGTCCAGCAGGCCCGGTAGTTCCAAGCGATTCCCTTAATTGGATAAACGCTACTCATTGCGTGCCAATGACCCGATGGGACACAGGAGCCACCTGTCCGCCAACTTAGAGAGGTTTTAGGGTTTAGGGTTCAGGGTTAGGGTTTAGGAGGGTGTAACCAGCATGGACAGAGAGTGACGTATGTCCTCAGGCCGGTGCTCACGAGCAAGGAGACTCGGCGCAAGCAGAGGGTGCGATGGTATCCAATCATCTGCATGTAAGCTGCGCAAGAGAGTTAACCGCAGATGCAAAAATCTCGACTCTTTGGCTGGCGCATCTAGCCTGTAACCCATCCGCTGTGTGTGTTTGTCGGCTTCCATGGCGGAAGGCTATGGGTGGAAGCAATCAGCAAGCAGTTGGTCGTTGCCTGGCTGTATCTATGGATCCTTCCATGCTGCTTGGGGAGGTTGAAGTGGTATGAGGCCTCATGAACAATATATCAAAATACCATGTATGTAAAATATGATGGAAGTGCGATATGAAGTTCCGCTCTTGCTGGTTTATGTCTTCGCCGCAAGGCGGCACCATGCGTATATGCAGGTTTCAGGCTCTACCCCATGTAGGCGCTAGGATAGCGCTAGCGTGGCGCTAGGTGTTCCTTTCCCAAGGCTAAAATTTAGAGCGATCCAGCTTCGGCAAGCTTAAGTAGTATAGGCGGCCTGCGGCTTAGGTAAGACTGTGGAACATTGGGTTACACACCCTGAACCCTACACCCTAAACCCTGTGGTTGCTCCTGATGCATACTGCCGGCCAAAATTCTAAAGTCATGCGGCGAAATATGCGCTAGGTTGGCGCTAGCATCGCGCTAGCAAATATGAAGGGAAACTGCTTGCAGTGGCCACTTGCCCATCCAAGACATAAAGCAGTACTAAGACAGCTGATTTGAAACATGGCCAACCTGGAAGAGCAAAGCACTACTAGCTCGAGCTCAAGTAGCTCCAATAGTTCCGATGACGATGCCTGAGTCTTAAGATGGCGGCGCTAGTGTGTTTTGCGAGGTTTTTGCATAGGGAGCAAGAATTAGTACTACACTTCTGTACTTGCCAAAGCCATCGTTCCAGACCTTCGTTTTCCTTCTCGTCATAAGGCGGCACCATGATTTTTTCAGCATCCGCCGTTCCTGGAAGAAGGAATATTGACAGCCACCCATATATATATATATCTATCTATCTATCGGTTCGACTTTTCAGAGCTTTGTGCACGCGTGCACAGGGATTGCAGTGGTTTGCCAAGCTGCATCCCAGGAGCTCATGGGAAGAATGGGATACATGCAAGGAAGCCTGCACTGAGTGCGGCACTTTCTGCAAGAGAGGATGGAATGCAGCCTGCCCGGCTGTCAGGCGTTGGGTCCGTGTGCCCTCACAATCGCTCACAGATGCCGATGATTTACCAGATGCAGCTTTGTCTTAAGCGCTGAGCTGAGGCACCAAACGGACGGCACTATTGCCGATCCTGCTGGGAACAGTGGCATGCCGTGCCACCTCCCCTGCCTGTGGCACCAGGCCGCGACATGTGGGACCCACAAGAGATTTGGGATCTCTGCATATGACGTTCACAGCCTGGTGTGACCTGACCCACCAACACTGAAACATGGGGTTCACTCGCGCAGGTGGACGTAGAACTTGGCGCAAGTCTCTTCCCATGAAGCCACTTTGCTGCACTGTGCCGACCAATTTTCTTTGACACTCTGTCGTGACTCGGCCTCCCAAAGAGGAAGTTGTGGCCCAAGCTGCGAAGCCGTCAAGCCCTGAGACCTGAACCCCGATAAGCCTGTAAGGCCTACTTGGAGGTTCATGGTACTTATTCACCAATTCAGCCCCTTAAGTGCCCTAACATGGCTAGAATTGGATGATAAGTGATAAGTACAGTTGATCTTGCGTTAAGAAGTACCATGAACTTCCGAGTACAAATCCCTAGAAGCATTCGCAATCCCAGGCGTGCCTTCAGCGTTCGGGATACTGGTTGCCCGTGCTGCACTCCTGGCGGTGTGCCCCCTGAGGCAAGGGTCGCATGACCAAGGGTTCAATGAATCTACGAGGCAATGGTTACTATAATGATCTTCTGGTACCCGACGATCTGACATTCTTCCGCACCCGGATATGTCAGCTGCGTGGTTGATGTGATTGCAATGCCTGCCCTTACTTCAGTGAGGTTCAGCAGGTGTACCAGCACCCGCAACTGGATTCCAAGGACTTGCGGGGTCCTTAAAGTGCTTCTCAAACTTGATGTTTCGCGACACAGTATGCCAGGCTGTGACACTACAAACTTGCTTGCGTACTCACTCTAGCCGCAGCCCTCAAAACTACAACTGCAGCCAACTTGAGGGTTTAGGAAAATAGGGGATCCCGAAAATAGACCACCAAACAGTAGGATTCCCTTACAATAAGGACCCGAAGAAGGTACCCCTTACTATCACTCATCTATTATCGTACACCCCCAATATGAAGCCTGTTGTGAAAAACAACCCACCGATCTCGCGGTGCCGAGGCAAGAGCTGCGCGGATTCGCCTATTGCGATGCCCATTGCCACCTAGACATTCTGCTACACAATTTGCGGCATGGAGGCCTGCCTTGGCACCGGCTTTAGGAGTTTAGGGTTTTAGGGCTTTAGGAGCTTAGGGTTTTAGGATCTTTTTGGGCTTTGTTGCAGGCTTTGACTGGGCAGCTTGGCTGATCTATCAAGCCGTGCATGCCTGTGCTGCAAACTTTGGCTACATGAAGCATTTGGTCTCGGACCTGATGCGTGATACATGGTTTGATGTGGCAGGGCTCGAAAGAGAGACTGTGCAAGCCACTTTTCTGCAGCTAACGCGTGCGGAGCACCATGCAAGGCAAGTGTCGTCATAGTTGGGAAGCCTGACAGACATGTAAGAGCTTGCTGATCCATGGCTATTTCCAGGAACTGGCTGGCAGGCGAATGCTGGTATAAGGACTGCGCCAGAGCACGCCAAGATGTCCATGGATGATTATCATCAATGACTTCGCCTTCTGCCTCCAGTCGTGTTTTCGGGCCGAAGGTGCTTGCAAAAGGCCCAATATTTCTTGTGCAGGACTGTGACTACGCACATGGAGAAGAGGACTGCTATGTGAGCAGATCAGGGCAAGGGATCGATAGGGATCGAGAACCCGAAGCCTGAAACTGCGAAGCTCTGTTTGGGGAGGAGCTGGTGCCTCGACAGATGCTAGCACAGGAGCATGTGGAGCCATACCTCTGCGAGCTTCAACGCGTCTTGGCGCCGCCAAACCCGAAGCCCTAAACCCTAAACTGGCCCTAAACCCTAAACCGCAACCCTAAGCCCTAAACCCCCAAACAATACATTTTTTATATACAAAAACAGATGTTTAGAGTTTCTCAACAGATTTTGGAGGACTTTTCCCAGCCGAGGCCGGGCTGCGAGGCGCAATGAGCCCATGCTGAGGCCTACCCCGCCATGGCGGAGTAAGTCGCGTTGTGGGATCTCGAAAACTTCGCAATCTAAGAGCATACTATAAGGATACAAGAATATCAAATAGTTTAACAGAGTAGTATAAGAATATAGTGTAATAGTAGAATAGCGTAGAAACTATAAGAATGTAGTAGCATAACAATTTTAAGACTTCTGCAGCTTATCCAAGAATGTGTACTCGTGCAGCCCAGGTCTTTGATTACAAACTGCTGCGAGCTCGAGACTCGTTCTAGACTAGTTGACTACTGTCTTTACATTGCCAAGCATACTACGTAACTTCTTCCATGATGTCAGTCCAGTACAGCAAGGATGCTGTGGAAGATACGAAGCTCATCATCGAAGTCGCAGAAAAACTTGGCCTCGACTCAGTGTACTGCACGATCGGGTGCCATCCGCATGACTACCGAGATTTCTCGGCAGAGGCGGAAAAGCGACTGCGTGCTGAACCCCTGCCTGATTCAAAAGTAGGTACACACAAAGAATCTGCATTCCTGCTGCGTTTGGAAGTGCTTAATTACATGTGCCACCGCGAGTTGGCACTCGGGTTTGCATCAGCTGAGGAAATTCAGGCATGTGGCCGTCGAGTAGTTGCAGTCGGCGAGTGTGGTCTGGATTATTGGAAGAACTACTACGAGCCTCTCGGCAGAAGTCAGAATGCTTAGCGGCTCAAGGTTACCAAGGTTCACATTGATCTTGACAGCTTCTTGAACTTCCTTCGTTTTCGGAATACCTGGCTGTACGAGTTGCTGAGGTACTTGGAGCCTGTCGAACGTCAGCAGATGTTAGACGTGTTTGCCCGGCAAATCCGCATGGGCATAGCCTTGCGCCTAGCTGCCTTTGCGACCCACACTTAAAGTCGCCGCGGCATGGTCGATCCATCCCATGACATGTGCTATGCCTGGGGTGTCGAATCTTAAGTCGGACCCCCCGCTGCCCTCACTCAGCAAGAGCAGATGCAGTTTACAAACCCTAAGCCCTAAACCCTAAACCCTAAACCCTAAACCCTAAACCCTAAACCCATGTAATCAGAATCAATGTAGTTACTCACCTCCACAGCAGCTCTGGCATCCAGCACCAAGGACTTCAATCTTCCTGTAGTTGTTCATGCACGCGATGCTGACGACGATACCTTGCACGTCCTGAAGAATACTTTGCCTCGCGAGCACAAAGTTTACATTCATGCATTTCAAGGCACGACCGCCTTTCTGGAAGAAGTGCTGAAGATCTTCCCCAACAGCATCTTTGGTGTGAGCAGCATGGTCTGGTGCAGCGAGGGGGCAGAGCGCATCACGAGGAGCTGTCCTCTGGATCGCATGGTCCTTGAGACGGATGCCCCTTACTTGGCGCCACATCCCTCGGACCCTTGACGCCAAAGTGCGGTTTTTGGCTTTTTTTGCCTTATGAGGCCCCAAGACCAGTAGTGATTAATGATTTACAGGGATCTCTAGCTGGGCCTCTGATTTCCTAAACCCGTCTGTAGAGGTAGTGCCTAAGCCCTCAGTCACTGTGATTGTGGAGTGTTCAAATCTTCAACCCAGGATATACCTGAGCTTGCCCACAAGATCGGGGAGATGAAGGGGGAGAAGACGTCCACCGTCTTGAGAATCACCACTGAGGCTTCCCGGTTTAAACATGTTGCTCATAAGACCATTGCCGCGGGCCGGAGGGGGGCGGGCGAGCTCAGAATATTTCAGAGTTTTCTTGCAATTCAGCTCCTGTTCTGCGCTTGTACTCTGCAGGTTTGCCAGAGATTCTATGGATTGCAAACGCCGTGGAGCATCCGAAGATACGAAGGTGCATGAGAATCGGTTGCACCGCAAGAGCAGCTGTTGCACGCTGTGTTGAAGTCCCAGATTAGCTCAGTCTCGTCAATGGCTGGTGTTTTGCGGCATTCCGTCCGGCAGCCTTCGTTGCTTGTGATGGAAAAGGGGTCCCGAGTAAGGTGACATGACAGACTGCTTCATAGTAAACGTAAAGAATGTAGATGTGTAGACTTGGCTTTGAAGTTAAAGCTGCCTGTACGGGACAAAGCTGCCGCGGTAAATGACCTGGGGCACGGCGTTTGTAAATACTCACCTGCCTTTGCAGATTCCAGCAAGCAGCTTTTCCAGGCTGGACTCACGGCCATATTTAGCCTACACATGCCTGTGACCGGGCGAATATACCAAGCAGCAATGCCGATGGTGGCAAAAAGCGCGTGGCAAGGACTAGCGGTGGTGGTTGGGCAGGTGCGGTACATGCCCACTTTAAACTGACAGTCTTCCGCACAAACGCGAAGAGCTGAGGCACTTGAGAGAGCGTCGCGGGACGGAACATATGCAGGCAGGCCGCAAAAAGTAGTTTACCAGTCAGAGTCAGAGTGTCAGGTACGTTCACGGAACCTCGAAACCCTACAACCCAGCGCATCTTGAGACTTCGGTTCTAGTGGGTAAGAAATGCACGTCTTCGGCGTGCCTCTTGAATCCGAGAGCAACTCCAAAAGGTGGAGTTTAGACTTGATGTTCTTGCTGTGGGATGTTCCTCCTTATACAGAGGAGGGATGAAAAGGGGGAACATCCGAATTCTTGCCGCAACCCGTGGTGGAAGAGGAAGCTCAAGCATCAGCAGCAGCCATCGTTTCAGTGATGGAGTTGCCGATGTTGTTTCAGGCTTTGTCACTCCAACTCCAACCCCACCCACAAACAGAACCTACAAGGAACCTAAACCCCTGAACCCCAAACCTACAAGGAGCCTAAATCCCATTCAATGGGTATTCACCCAAACAAGGGGTACCACCCTCAATAGCCCAGATGTAGTACCCTAAACCCTAAACCCTAAACCCTTGGAATCCCCTTGAAGGGACCTCCAAACAGGGTAACCACCTAAACTTCGGGGACTCGGGGACCCCAAAATCCCGACAATCCCCCCAAAGCACCATCCGAGCACCAGCCCTAAACCCTAAACCCTGAAGAGGTGCAGCCCAGCGGGCACAAGCCGGTGCCCAACAGGCAGAGGAGAGATATGACATCGCAACAACGTTCATAAACGCACAGAGGCCCACAAGCAAGGGTTCATTTAGGGTTTAGGGTTCAAGGTTTAGGGATTTCGGGGTTTGTCGGTTGTTGATCCCTCAACCCTATAAACCCTGAACCCTGAACCGTATGTAAACCCTAAACCCTAAACCCAATGTGTAGGATCGATAACATCGAGAAGTGGGGGTGTAGGCTGATAAGGCTTCGAGTTGAAATCATCTAGAAGGAAGCCATACAACGGAACCGACCTGATGGATCGAATGTTGGGTTTGGGCTGTGGGCATTGAAGCGCCTAGCCCCCAACCATATTCTACCTGTGCTCCCTAGTCGTATTCTATCTATAGTGTCGGGGAACAACCCAAAACTCCCCCCCCCCCCCCCCCCCCCCGCACCCCAAAAAGAACAACTTCTGTCTGCTTCTGAAACCTTCCCCGCCCAATAAACCAGAACGGTGCAACCCCGCTTTCGGAAACCTAATTTAATCTCTAAACCCTAAACCCTAAACCCCCAGATGGCCCCAGAGGAGCTTCGCCGGCAGAATGCGGAGCTGCGGGCGGAGCTCGAAGCTGCCAAGAAGGACGGTTGGGGTTTAGGGTTTGGGGTTTCGGGTTTAGGGTTTGGGGTTTAGGGTTTGGGGTTTAGGGTCGAATCTGGAGGCCGGAGAACCAAAGAACCCATGTGGAGGGCAGCAGTCTTCCAAAGATGTCCCGAGTCAGCTTTCATGTTCGCCTTCAGGCGGCATCTGTCCAAGTATCGCGGTACGCCCCGGGCTGAGACATGCATGAGCCGCCACGGTGGATGAATGCTCTCAATTGCGGCTGCTGTCTGGCGCTTTCGAGCTCTGATTCGATGTCTACTTCTGCGATTCTGAAACCAGTATACTGCGATTATTCGCTCCCATGGGAGTATAGAATAACTTCATAGAAGCTCGCACAGGTGCCCTCGGACCATGCCGATGCACCGGATGGGGCCCCGGAAATGCAGATGCAGTAAGTGCGGGGGGAGTGGGGGGTTGATACCCTAAACCCTAAATCCTAAATCCTAAACCCTAAACCCTAAACCCTAAACCCTAAACCCTAAACCCCGAATGATGGGCTTGTAGCTTCGAGGAGCCTCCATGAAAGCATGTTCCTGACAGTTTACTACAAGCTGTGCCATATGGGACGCCCAAGAAGGGAACCCCCTAAGAATAGAGAGGGTAGAGTGGGTATGTGACCTTCTAGACCCTCAACCCCAATCCTCAACCCTTGACCCTTGAACCCTCAACCTTGAACCCGACCCTAAACCCTAAACCCTGGACCCTTGAACCCTTGAACCCTTGAACCCTCAACTCTAAACGGCAGGTGCAAGCCTTGCTCCGTTCCCTGGAGCAACTTGAGCCTTTCTTGGCCCAGGGCTCAATATATGGGAGAAGGGTTACTGAAAACTTTCCTAGGCTAGGTTTTATTTAGTCTAGTTAATGTATGTATCATATCTATATATATATACACACTTTGCACGGCATTCGACACGAGCTACATGACATCTCTATGCTGTACTAGTGGTCTGCAAGCAGCTGCATTGCAAGTGGGCTTGGTCGCATCATGAGCTCGATTCGATGGGGCTTCTCAGGCTGCAATGCCGGCCGGTCCTGGTCTCATAGAGCTACAGGAAGAGGCGCTCCCAGGAAACCCCTAACATGAACCCCCAAATAGTAGGATTCCCTTATAAGTAAGGACCCCAATAAGGTACCCCAGATTTCGTAAACCCCCACTTTGCCTTATGGACGATGCCTGGAGGCATGTGAGGCCTATGGGCGCTTGCGAGAAGCTCTGCTGGAGGCTCCTCGTAAGTTGCCATCTGCGATGTCACTGCCCTCACCACAGTCCTTTTTTTTGGGTTCCTCTGTCCCTCTCTCTCTCTCTCTGTCTCTTTCTCTCCCATCTTCTCCCTCTGTCTCTGAGTCAGGCTGCGGCTGTCCCAGAGGCACCCTTCTGGCCAGGCCCGGCGATTCCCAGCAGATCGCGATGCAGCCGCATCCTCTGACCTCTGGCTCTCAGGGGACCCGGGCAGAGTCGCGAGCTCCTGGACCAGCCCTGGCCCCGACCGAATTTTCAGGATGTTTGGGATGGATCTTGGGGATGTAATTGTGAAGCAGGAGTCAAAGGTGCCCAACAGGGTATGTTAGTTCTGGTGTAGGGGTCAGGCGTGCACTGCACGACGCTGCCTCGGCAAGGTTCCGAAGCAAATGCCCACGTAGCTGCACCAGGCCCTGACCCGTGGTGCGAGCCTAAGTTTTTTGGCCAGTTTGGGCTTGAGGACCTTTTCTGGCCAGCCAGAGGTTCGGAGTCATGGTCGCGCGCGTCGTGAGGCCTCGCGTGCAGCTGGAGCCCCTGACGCAACCAGGCATCGTGTCTGACTGACGAGAAGTGCTTCGTGTGGCGGCACTTGGTTCGCGTCTTGCACTTGCTGTGCCCACGAAGGGGCGCTGGGTGGGAAGCAGCCAATTCTGGCTCGACAGCTGTAGTAGATACATCTGCTCGGGGTGTACATCGATGCAACAGATGCTGGCAAGCTCTACTTGACCCAATGCCTGAAACCCTACAGATGCCAAACAGCTTTGAATCGCTGCCCCGCATCCCAAGCCAGAAAAAAAACCCACAATTCACCAACACCCAAAACCTGCCTCAGCCCTAACTCCTGAACCCTCAGCCCTAAAACCTTCCTAAACCCTACAAAACCCCTGTGAACCCTATAAACTCACTAGACTCCCTTAAACCCTGAAACCCTACACTTACCTAAGCCCTTCTGCATGGAGCCCCGGGAGCCTCGGCCCTTGCGGAGCTACTCCCAGGCCGTCGGATGCAAGGGTTTTTGGAAAGCTTGTTTGGGCTTTGGGCTTTGGGCTTTGGGCTTTGGGCTTTGGGCTTTGGGCTTTGGGCTTTGGGCTTTGGGCTTCGGGCTTCTTGCTTCGGGCTTAGGGCTTAGCACCCCCCAACCCACCCCCCCCCCCACCCCCCCCCAACACCCCCGAACCCCCTCCCCCCCCGGGCGTTTTATTCTGTTTTTTATAGGGGGGTTTATAAATTAAAAAAGGGAGGCTTTCAAGTTAAATGGGATCCATATGAATTAAAAAGGGGGAATTTGCATGAATTTAAAAGGGACCCATACGGACATCGGGAACGATTTGACTTTAAAGCGGGACCTGGTCTGTACCCCCAAACAGTATCAAACAGTCAGGGTGTCCTGAATAGCCCAGCCAATATGACTTTATTGAGGGGCCCCCGCTAAACCAGGTAGATCATTGGGGTTCAGAGAGGTCCTTTTTTTTTTTTTTTGGGGGGGGGGGGGGGGGGTTGTGGGGTTAGAGAGCTTTAGGGGCCTTAAAGTTTATGGGTTATTTCATCGGGGCGTTGTCGAAAATTGTTCGGGCTCTCTAGTGCTGTGTAAGGCTTCTAGGGCGGGGGGGGGGGGGTGTCGGACTTGTATGTAGGGCTGGCAGGCTGGGATTGTAGCGCAATGCTCGTGTTTAGCCTGAGTTTAACCCTAAACCCTCGACCCTAAACCGCCTAGGTACGAAAATCTCTGAATTTCTTCAGGGCCCATCCCTGGGGCCTCGCAGCGCTCGATAGCGCGCCGATCACGATGAACCCTATAGTGCTATCCGGCAACAAAAATAGCCTGAAGCCTGTCTAAACCCTAGAAAATTCAAACGACCCTGAAGCCGTAACAGCGAGCAATTAAGCCTTTTTGTAAACCCCATAAAATCCAAACGACCCGAAAGCCATAAGACTCTACAGCCTCCGCAGGGTCGCGCGCCCTTGCGAAACCGGCGCAGCGGCCCGCGGGTGCCTTCCGCTCCGTCTTCCGGCAAGGCCCGGGGTGGATCTGATGCCATCAGCCTGAAAGGTTTTTTGCTTTTCTTTGTGGGTTTATTTCCTTCGTTTTGGCCTTGACAGGGACTCATCGTAGGTGTAAAGGGTGTTGTCGGGGCTTAGAGGTTTAGGGTGTTCAGCTCTGCGCGAGGCATTGGCTCAGGAGATCCTGCAATGCGGCAGCTTGGCGCATTGATCGCGAGCAGAGCTCGCAGCGCGATGGGATCCCGATCCTGCAGCATATGCTTGACGGGACGTTCCCCCCTATACAAACAGTCCTTAATAGGGATTCTAACAGGGGGTCCCCCTATACTAGCAGCTCCTTAATGGGGATTCTAGTAGGGGGTACATCCCTATGAAGGACTGTTAGTTAAGGGGGAACATCCCAAGGTCCACAGGCCAAAAGGGGTGACGCCTGTTCTTGGCCCCGAGGCAAGGCATCGCAGTGGCGTCAGGAGCCACGAGAGCGGTGGTGCATGTTCTTGCATATTACTATATATCATATTGTATTGTCATAGTGTTATCATATTACTATCTATCATATTGTCAGAAGTGTTATTATACATTTCTGTATCATTGTATTTCTAGATCTGTGCATTATTATTTTGGTTTTTTCTAGAATCGTCTCGCAACGCAGGGCCTGGCTTTGTTCTCACAATGTCTGCAAAGTCGCGTGCTGCCAGATTCCGTGGGACTCTGAGTTGTGGTCATGCCAGAAGTGACGCTCCTTGTGCAAGAGACTTGGTGGTCATTTCTCGCGTTCTTCTGCTGTAGGCGTTGATGGAGTACATGGAGTGCACGCTCATTTCTCTGGCACGAGGCCAGCCAGAATTGGCATCCACAAGCCGTCCCACTATGTATGATTTAAGTGTTTAGCCCCGACACCAGAAGATCAAAAACTCTCCACGACTTCGTCCCTGAAGCCTTTGAACCCCTGAACCCGGTGCAAGACCCAAACCCTGACCGGACCTCCACCCCAAATGCTCGGAAATCCACATGTTTAAGTCTGTGGCAACGCTGGCGAGGATAGTGGACCCCTGTTGGCATGGGCAATCTGCCGGCCCTAGCCTGCTATATCCAAAATGTTGGGTTGGCCAACCTTGTCTAAGGTTGTGAGCTGTCCATGCAAGCTTTTGAAAGCCGCGCTGTTTTTTGGTGTTGGCCTGGTTTTTTTGGGGGACTCCTTGAGGCTGAAGCCTTAAGAGAGCTCCCAAGCTTCAAACACGAAACCCGAACCTCCAAACCCCTGCCCATAATGAGCATGAATTGGATCGCTACGCTGAGCCGGTACAGTGCCTGCAGACAAGAAGCGGGGAACAGAAAGGTGGATCCATGGGGTTTGTGGTGGTGCCGGGGGGTGGGGGGACCCAGTAAGATTCTCCTTAGGCCTTGGGTGTTGAACGTGCATTGATGCATGTTTGGGTGTGTAGGTTTAGTTGGCAGTTAATTCAGTTAGGTGTTGTCGTCCGCCCCCCCCCCCCCCCCCCCCCTCTCAGATAGAAAACGGACGAAGATTCCGAGCAGCTTAGCAGCCCGCAAGGCGATCAGTGGCGGAGGTGCCTCCACATGCTCGTAGAGATGGAGCACGTCGCCACTCGAGGTTGGTGTTGCGTGGGTTTAGGGTTTAGGGTTTAGGGTTTAGGGTTTAGGGTTTAGGGTTTAGGGTTTAGGGTTTAGGGTTTAGGGTTTAGGGACAAAAACTGTCCATGCCCGGTTGGCATCCTCAGGGTACCCAGTACCCAGTATCATCCAACGAACCCACAGAGAGTGTGTGAAGGCGGGATTCTTGGATTATGCTGAAGATACACAGCGCATCGTGTGAGGCCTGCCCAAGCCGCGCCCAGCCATCTACACCTTTGCCATCGGGGCCTTGCGACGCCAAGGGCTCTGGCAGCAAGCTTTGGACGCTCTTGCCATGGCCGAAGATGGAGGCTGGCCATCTATCGGCTGCACGTGGGGTCGGGTCCTACAGTTTAGGGGTACCAAGGCTCAGAACTCATAACGGGTGAAGCTGGCTTCCCAAGTTAGTCCCTATGGGCATTTAAATAGGGGTACCCCTTTTACACTCCAAGTAGCAGTTCCCCCTGAATGGGACCCCCAAAAAGGGTAGTGTCCCCCCAAGTTCTGGAAGACCCCCATATGAAGCAGGGTTTATATTTCTTTGGTGAGTGCATATAAGGTTCCTTTTAATATTGGTGAGTGTATATATTTGGTGTCCTTTTGGGGGTACAAGAAATATATACCCTACTTCATATCAGGCTTGACACTGGATCTGCCACTCATCAACACTGCCATCGGCGTCTGCGGCTACGGGCTGCAGTGGGAGCGGGCACTTGACCTTCTGGCTCAGCTACCAAGGAGGAGGCCCGGTTTTTTATTCATGGAGTGGGCCCTAAACCCCAAACCCTAAACCCTAAACCCTAAACCCTAAACCCTAAACCCTAAACCCTAAACCCTAAACCCTAAACCCTAAACCCGCGGAGCCCGCCATGCCTTCATGCACTTGCTTGCAGTCTTCAGCCAAGCATCTACAGCTACAACTCCGCGGCAGCGGCCTTCGGATCGGCGAGGCAGGGGGCTCGTGCTGGCTGGTTCTTAGGGGAATGAGGGAATGAGGGCCCTATGTAATCCCTTAAGGGATATATATATATATATAGGGCACTCATCCCTTCATTCCCTACGAAGAACCAGGGGGCTTGTTTTTGGGTTTTCTTAGGGAGATCTTGGAATGAGTGTTATAGCTTCTGGCGTCAGGATGGGTGCTCAAATGAAATCTCCGGGTTGGAAATGACACTTCCCGAGCTTGCAGGCAGTGGGAACATGTTCTGGCCCTGGTGGAGACCATGAACCGAGGGCGCATTGCCCTCGATGCTGCCCCTGCCTTGGGGTTTTTGTTGCTCGGACAATCGACCGGTCGAAGGCTGATGTGTTGGGTTTGTGCACAGGCAATGCGAGACTGCGCAGCCAAGTCTGTGGATGCCAGGATCCTACGGCTTACTGTAGTCAAAGCTGTGCGTGCGTAGTTGTTTTGACTTCGTTGTATCGTTGCAGCTCAGGGCTTAGAGAGCTCTCGCTCTCTCTCTCTTCCTCCCTCTGTCCCTTTCGCAAATTAATTACTTCTGTCATTATGCTATACTTGTGCCTTACATCCTCAGTGTTTTTTGTCTGGTTCTGTGTGTCGTGTCTCTGCCGGTGCCGATATGTCTGGCTGTCTGTCCCAAGGAGACAGGCTCGTAGAGTCAACCGGCTTAGCTGGTTCACTTGAGGCGGCACAATGCCTCATGCTACTTTAAATTTGGAAGCATCCTGCTGATTGCCGGAGCTGGTCATGATGGTCGTGCCCCACCGAGATGGGTTCAATCTAATCCGCACCACTGCAAAAAACAAGCCTGTCTACAAAGCGCGACGAGGCTTATTTTAATGTCGGTACATTCGCCAATTCTGAGTGTGTGAGATAAAGAAAGTCACCCAAAACCCAAAACCCTAAACCCTAAACCCTAAACCCGCATGTTTTGACTCCCAGCCAGAATTTGCTGGGCCAGTCAGGTCGGTCGCAGGCAAATGCGGATTGACGCCATGGACGTGCTTGCTGCGGCAGCAGACTGGCAGGAAGCCCTGGCCAGCCTATGCAGCTTAGGCAGAGCGCTGAACCGGGTTTAGGGTTTAGGGTTTAGGTTTAGGGTTTAGGGTTTAGGGTTTAGGGTTTAGGGTTTAGGGTTTAGGGTTTAGGGTTTAGGGTTTAGGGTTTAGGGTTTAGGGTTTAGGGTTTAGGGTTTAGGGTTTAGGGTTTAGGGTTTAGCCAAGCCGGGCGGGAGCATAGCCAAGCTCGTTGCAAAAGGGTTTAGGGCTGTTGTGCATCGTGACAGATGTGACAAAATTGCCCGCTCTTGTGCCGTCGACGCGATCCATTCCTGAGATCCTCGACAGGTAGGCAGGCAGTTCAAGCTGATGCCCTCATGCACAATGTCGTGCTTGATGCCTGCCGCCGAAGCTCGAACTGGGCAGAGGCAGATTCTGTCTTCAAGTGCTCAAGTGCTCTGCTCTGCAAGCGATCTCCCTTGCAATCCCATGACATGTCCGGCCTCTACACTGACTCGAGACGTACATCTCAACATCACAAACCCTGAGCCCAGTCGGGGCGTGCTAATCCCGCATTTTGCTGTCCGCCGGAGGCGCTGGCACACTTCGATCGAATGAAGGCGAACATAAAACCTACAGCGGCCTCCCTGACCAATGTCATTGCCTCGATGGGCATTGCGAAGCAGTGGCAGGAGGCAGGATTGGCATCAAAAGAACCTCCCTAAACCCCATAATGTCGAACCATGGCGAAGTGTGCATGTGAGCAGCAGGGGCCTTTCAAGTCCCACTCAATCAGTGCAAAAGTTCAGAGAGACGAAGATCTAAAGTGCACCACCCCACTGCGACTGCTGGGCCCTGGCAAACAGTGCTTACCGGGGTCTGGTGCAGGCACTCCGCATGTTTTGGCAAACCGGCCAGAGTGACCCTAGACAGGCCCTTGGGACATTTTATACGTTCCCCTGTTGCGTTTAAGAGGATCACATTTCATATTTTTTCAGACGGTATTAGAAGTGCCATCCTAGGACCACAATAGCCTTCCCGTGGAAGTGGACCTCTACCTCTGCAACGCCGTGTTAGATGCACTGCGAACTGCAGGCGGGGAGAGCTCCTCTTTTAGGGCATAAGAGCATCGCTCGGGAAGTCTGGGGGGGGGCAAGCCCATTCTCGGCCTAGGCCCCTTGAGAGAAGCTGTCGGAGATGTTTAGGGGTAGGGTTTAGGGGTAGGGTTTAGGGGTTAGGGTTTCGGGTTTAGGGTTTAGGGTTTGCTTCTGGTCAGGCAAGTGGCCACTGGTGCTGCATCTCCTCTCAGACATGTCAGCGGCGAAGCTGTGGCTTATGCCTGGGCTTTTTCTGCCAAAATCGTTCCTACCCGTTCCAAATGCAATGTCTTTCAACATAGCTGCCTGGCTGAAAATGCGGTGTGGTTGCAATGGGGTTGTTGCAGATGGCTTCCCGCTCCCCCCCCACCACCCACCACCCCCACCCAGCCCCTGCCCCCCCCCCTCCCCCCCCCCCGCCCCCCCCCCCCCCCCCCCCCCCCTCCACTTAGTTTCCTTTGCTCTCGACATCTCTCAACGGAGAGTTGAAGTCATGGCAATGCCATCGATCTGTTCGAAAGACATCGCTCATGGACTGAGGCCATCAGTGCATGCGCGGATGCTGCACTTTGGCAGCCATCGCTTGCACTTCTTGGAGACATGAATCGGCGGAAGACGACGCCAAGCGCAGTGACTTTCAATGCTGCAATACTGGCTGCGCGCTTACTGTAGGTGTTTTCGACATCACATTCAGACTTCTGCACATGCCAATGTCTGCCCGAGAACGCAAGGTGTGCGGTCAAAGCAACCACTGGCAACAAGCTCTGCAATTGCCGCAGTCCTACCATAAGGGAGATCCAAGCCTTAGCTGGGCTGAAAAGGGTTTAGGGTTTAGGGTTTAGGGTTTAGTTTAGGGTTTAGGGTTTAGGGTTTAGGGTTTAGGGTTTAGGGTTTAGGGTTTAGGGGCTCGGCAGCACCCTGCTACTTCCTTCGCCCCTTGTCGCCCTCTGACCGCAAGGTTCGAGGAGTTGCAGGAACACCCGACCCTCCAAGCCAACCAGGCCGCGGCTCGTTGTCAGATAACCCCCCCCCCTTTCCCCCAATGAAGAAGAGAAGCCTCAAGACTTACGACCTAACCACTCCGAATCCGTACAAACCTAACCTCTTGGCTGATGATGATGAGGTGTGCCCTCGGCAGGTGACTTACCTCTCCATCATGCAGGCCTTGAGCAAGGCTAAGGCCACCAGCGTTCTCGACGATAGCAAGCTCAATGGTGGTAGTCGTAGTGGCAATAAATGCCAGCATTGAACCACACAGCAAGTAATTCAAGCAAACAATCAAGTAACCAGGGAAACAAACAGACAGCGAAACAAGCCAAGAACAAAAACGGGTTTCGGGGCAGAGCCATTGAGAGTAACACTGTTTTTTTGCGCTGTTCAGATTTTCATGAGTACAACAGTTGTTTCGCGCAAGGTCAGCCAGTTGCCTCGAATTCTACGCCTGCTCAATGACATGAGGAGTGGTCCCTTTCAATGTTTTGTTTGTGTGTCTGCGTGTCTGTCTCATTCCCGCTCTCTCTCTCTCTCTCTCGCTCTTTCTCTCTCTCTCTCTCTATCTCTCTCTTGCCCTTTCCTTCTCTCCCTCTGTCTCCCTCTCCGTCTCCCTCTCTCTTTTTTCTTTCTCTGTCTCCAACGCACGGTGTCTCGCAGAGATGCAGAAAATAGCAGGTCTGGGACCGGGTGTCCGGGTGTGGGATGAGAGGGTCAGTTCCCATTAACAAGCATTAGCAGTCATTAGCAGCGCAGCAGGAGAAGAAAGATGAATCCTGGAGTGGAAGTCTTCAGTGCGGCCATTACTGCATGTGGCGACCAGGCACCGGCACACCCTTGATTCAATAATTATTATATCTAATCAATTTTTTGTATGCCGTTGCGCTGTCCTTTGTCAGCTACGACAGCGCGCACCAAGCGAGATTCTAGAGACTCAAATGGGGCGTCAGTCGGGCACCAAGTCTCATGTCATGGCGCGGTAGCCGAACGCGTGCACTCATCCGAACTCACAAGGCCTTGCGAGCCTTGGTGACTCATGACTTGCAGGAAACAGGACTCACTGACATGGCCCTAGACCTGTGCACAATACACCAACATTCCAGCCCCCAGAACGCCCTGTGAAAGTGCTGGGGCGGAGTCTCCGCTGGGGTGGGTAGGTGTGTTTGGTGGTATCGCGACCCTGGGAATGTCAGGGCAAGTTCGACACCATTGCCGGTTTGCTTAAGGACCCATGCTTGTCCTTGTCTGATGCTGGGCCTCCTGTGCACTTCTGAGACACCTCAGCATCAGAAGATTTTGCAGATGGTAGCATCAGGACATGGTCCAGACGGGCATTGTTCCAAACACTGCCGGCATCTCATCACCTTTGAGCCTTGGACAAATCCGCTTGGTAGCTGCAATACCAAGGTTGTTCTGAATGCCGCAATGAGTGCGTACATCGACTGCGGGCAGCTGAAGCAGGTGCCAGCATTCTGGCAATAGCCGAAATTTGTATAGGGTTTAGGGTATAGGGTTTAGGGTATAGGGTTTAGGGTTTAGGGTTTAGGGATTCTCAACCCTGCTCTTGCTCCCCAGGCGGACGGCCTCTTTGGTGAAATGCCACAATACTCGGTGCAGCCTGACCTGGAGTCGAAGCTTGGCGGCAGGTGTGAAGGGTGTTCTTGGGGGCATCAGAGGTGGTCGTATCGAAGTCATGTCGACTTTTGAAACAGGACATGCATTGTACATATTTATGTTTATTCTGTGTGTGTGTATATGTATATATATATATATGCATATACTATCATGTGTTTAGATATTCATTCAAGGGCCTGCGCCCATACGGTGCCCAGGGTTTTAGGCTCCAAAGATGGACTTGAAAAGGTGGGCTCCAAAAGTGCGCAGAAATGCATGAAATGCCGGCTGACGCGCCGCCCCTGGAAACCCTAAACCCTAAACCTGCTGGCTCCAAAAAAATGCCCGTCTTTTTGCAGCCCCGAACCATAAGCTCGCGCTAGGTTTGGGGCCGTGGCACTGCCCGAGTTTGGCACGGGCTGGCCTCGCCCACCCGAAACCTTAAACTTTGGCATTTGGCATCTCTGCTCGGGGGGGGGGGGGGGGAGGCGGCCGGGATTGTTTCGAAGCACCTGGCCGCCAGGCTGAAACAACCCAGAACGTGACTCCCCGGCGCTTCTGGTGGCCCCCCCCCCCCCCCCCCACAAGCCCCCCAGAAATGGAGGCCCGGAAGGGATTTGCAGGCAGAATTTTAAGAAAGTGGTCCCCCACACTAAGGTGCCCGAAGTTTCTTAGCTAAAAGGCCTTCCAAATCCCCAAAATCCTTGGTTTCTTGTACATTGGTTTCTTGTACAGTTTTTTTTTTGGATGTCTGATTGACAGGTTAAGGGCCGAGGGTCCAAGCCGCTGCTGATGCTCATGATGCGGCATCACTCCCTCTCTCTCTCTCTTCTCTCTCTCGCTGTCTCTCTCTCTCTCTCTGTCTGTGCCTCCCTCTCTCTCTCTCTCTTTTCTTTCTATCTATTCTTTGTTTTTCTTCTTTATTACTATCTCTCGCTGTCGCTCTCTCTCTCTCTCTCTCTCTTGTGTCTCTTCTCCCTGGACCACGCTCGGTGGGGCCGAACTTACAGGCCTCGTCAATGGGGGGCGGCAGTGCCTTTGAGAGCTGAAGACTGGAGCATCTGGGTCGGGCGGGTCATTGGGGGCTCGAGGGTGATTAACCTTCGAAGTCTTCCCTGCTTCGGGTGGTTTCCCAAAGCCCTGACCCCTAATCCCGTCCCTACCTCTTGCTGAAGTCTTCTTGGCAAAAGTCTTTTTTCTTGAGCCCCAACCCTGCCCCTGGCCTCCTGACCGGACACCCAGGAAACGCTTTGGGTGGGGCACCCCCGCCACCCTATCGAATTTTCCGCTACTGGGCCAGGGAAATGCCCCAAGGCCCCGTCCATGTACCCAAAGCCCTAAACCCTAAACCCTAAAGCCCCACCAACATCCAACAAAATCTTCTTTCTTCAGCTCCAGCATAGTCACTGGCCGGCTTGGGGGAGCTGGAGTGCGGCATGTGTCTCTTCGTCCTGGCCCGGGTCGGGCGGATATATCCACTTGCATGTGTGTATGCGTAGGCACATCTTGTGCACAAATTGTAGACCGTGTTGCAAACCAAGCATATAAAGTATGCAACCAAGGTACAATACCCTGCTGAAAGGCGCCTCGAAGGAGTGGGATCATGAGAAGTGGTTTTCCGAGTTCGCAAGGGCAGCAGCGAGCGCTGCTAGTACACTGCTATGATGATGGGTTTTATCATCAACCCAGCTCAGCTGCATTGCAGGAGGGCCTCTGGGAGTTTGCCTTGCAGGTGTTGGCATCCAGGTTGCAGCAAGATACACAGAGCGGATGCTCTTGCTGCTGTTGCTTCGGCTTGGTTGCTGGTTGATCTGCAGTGCAACAGCTTGCTGCGCTCATTTGCACCGTGCGACGAAGGAAAGCATTCGATCAGCCAAGTATGCTCCAGATGTCATCAGTTACACTGCTGCAATCCACGCTTGTCGTGAAGGAGTGTGCGGAGCTGAGCTTGCAATGCTTGCTAGTCGGAGTTGTTCCTAGTTCAGGAAGGGGCTCTATGACAAACAGACCCATACGTACGGGGATCTGGCCCCAACAACTCCCAAGAGGTTTGCCTTGTCTCGGCTCGGGTCATAAGCTTTATGTAGTGTAGTGGACAAGCACGCAGTCCGCATTCATGAGAGCTTATACATGGCAGGAATAAAGTGTCGAGCTACCAGGGACGACAATCCAACAGATGGCGGAGTCTCAGGTGCTGTATATGGCTTGTGCGGCGGAGAACTTTTTCCATCCGAAGAAAGGTGTATAGCTACACAGCAGTAGGCTGTACTAGGAGTCTGCGCAGGAAATGGGTGGGGAGCACTTTTCACGGCTGTGTGCGCTTGAGAGAACTTAGTGGGTCGAACTTTCATCCTACCTGAGTAGTGCACGTGCCTCGCGGGTCTAGGCTGTGGCGAGAAGCTGTGCACCTGTGCTGGGAGATGCGTTCGAAGCTTAGACCCCCAATCTGAGCCGCTGCTCATGATCCGACGGATCTGAACCTTCTTGCCTGCCTAGTCCTAGTCTTGCAGGGCACACGTCCACGGTTCCGCTTTGCCAGGCTCACAGAGCATTCGCCCGGACACCATGGCTTTGGGCGCCACCATCAATGTGTGTGCTGCCTCTACTCACCTGCATTCGCTGACAGCAGACGAAGGCCGGTACGAAATTCAGCTAACGTGCTGGAAGGCAGCTGTGGTCGGTGCAAACAGCCCCCCCCCCCCCAACCCTAAAGTCCAAAGCCCTTGAGCCTTGCCCCCTGAACATTGAACCTCGGAGGTCAGGAGGATGAACAGACAAAGACCTCTCTAAGGTCCAGAATGCAAGACCACCCCGCTGAACGCACCCTAAACCCTACACCCCAAACCCTAAACCCTAAACCCTAAACCCTAAACCCCAAACCCTAAACCCTAAACCCTAAACCCTAAACCCCCTCAGCCTTGAATCCGCCAGGCCTGTCGAGGGGAAGCTGGGCCTTCGCCCTGGGCCTTTTTGGCGAGGCAAAGCTTCGGGGCATCTTGGCAGGAGCATATTTCCAGGCAAAAGGGAAGGGAAGGTAGGGTTTGGGGTTAGCGTTTAGGGGTTGAGAGTTTTTTGGATTTGGTTTTGGGGTTTTGGGGTTTTGGGGTTTTGGGGTTTTCGCGTTTTAGTTTTTTAGGACTTTAGGGTTTTTGGGTTTCTGGGTTTTAGGGTTTTAGTGTCGGGTTCCCAACAAATAGGGAGGGGGGGGTGGGGGGGGGGGGGGGGGGGGGGGGAATGAGAATCCTTCCAACTGGAGGAGTCATGACCTACCGAAGACAGCAGGCTTTGGGTCTCTTAAGGTCAACATGTAAACACCGACCCTCAACTTCGAAGGCCTAAACCCCAAACCCTAAACCCTAAACCCCAAACCCTAAACCCCAAACCCTAAACCCTAAACCCCAGACCCTTAACTTTTAAACCCTGATGCACCCCAGGGCTCCCGCTCAGCACGGTTTTCCTGAACAATGCCCTGCAGGCCTGGCCGTCATTGAGGGCTTTAGGGCGGTTTAGGGTTTAGGGCTTTATTGGCAGTTTAGGGTTTAGGGCTTTGGGGCGGTTTAGGGTTAGGGCTTTAGGGCTTTAGGGGCAGTTGAAGGTTTAGGGCTTAGGGTGGTTTAGGGTTTAGGGCTTTTGGGCAGTTTAGGGTGTAGGGCTTCAGGGCAGTTCAGGGTTCAGGGAGTTTAGGATTCAGGGCTTTACTCAGGGACAGGGGCTTGAGCTGCCGCAGCGGATTGAGAAAATCATGGGGCTGTATGGTTTGCAGCCATGTCTAACCCCCCCCCCCTAAACCCTAAACCCTACCCTAAACCCTAGGCCCTAGGCCCTACACCCTAACCCCAGGCCTGCGCAATGGCCTCTGAATGGGAAGCCTCCCTGGGCTTGGTGGAGGACTTAGCGCCACTTGGAACTGGTTTGGTGTTGGGGTTTTTAGGGTTTAGAGTTTGCTTTTAGGGTTTTGGGTTTAGGGTATATGGGCCCATACTGCTCACCCAAAAACCCTTTTCTTTGAGCCCCAAACCCTTTAAAACCCCAAACTTCCTAAATTCACTGAACTAATCAACCCCCTAACTTCGTTGAACCCTTTAGACCCCTTTCACCCTTTTTCAACCCTGCACACCCCCTCCCCCCCCCCCCCCCCAAAAAAAAAAACACGGTGCTTTAAACACTAAACTTCCTATATTCTTTGAACCCTTTAGACCCCTTTCACCACTTTGTCAACCCCAGCAAACCCCCCCCCCCCCCCCCGCCCCCAAAAAAACAAAAAACAACATATTTTTTGAACCCTAAACCCCTTTGGACCAACCCTAAACCCTAAACCCTAAACCCTAAACCCTAAACCCTAAACCCTAAACCCTAAACCCTAAACCCTAAACCCTAAACCCTTTTCCCAAAACCCTTTTCCCAAAACCCTTTTCCCAAAACCGGTGAGGTCGCCCCAACCCAACCTGGAGCCCAGCCTCGTCACCTCGAACCTACACCTGGCTGCGCTGTGCACCGGCCATCAGCCAGACGCCTACGAATGAATGGGGCTCTTAGGGTTTTTAGGGCCTTTTAGGGCTTGTTAGGTGTTTAGGGCTTTTAGTGTTGCTTTTTAGGTCTTTGAGGGTCTTTTGGGGTTCTTTTGGGGATTTTTTTTTTGGGGGGGGGGGGGGGGGGGGGGGGGGGTTAGGGGTGTTTTCGGGGTGTTTAGGGGTGTTTTCGAGGTTTTTCGGGGTTTAGGGTTTAGGGTCTTTAGGGTCTTTCGGGGTGTTTTGGGGTTCGGACTCTGACCTCAAGCCCTCAGTGTAGTGGAAGGTGGCAGCATGCTCTGGATTGCTTGGAGAGAGAGTGGCCGGCACGCGGCCACTCCCCTGATGCCTCGACCTACAATGCTGCTTGGCTGTGGTGAAGTAGGGGTTTACGGCTTCGGATTGGGATGTTCCCCCTTTATACTAACAGTCCTCAATAGGGATTAGAATAGGGGGCATTGTAATTGCTATTAAGGACTGTTAGTCCAAGGGGAACATCCCAAGCTTTGGAGATGGTTCAGGGTTGGACTATGACCTTATTCCGTCAGCACCAGTTTGCAGGGGTGTGAGGGTGCCACGGCACTCAAGAATGCTTCGATGCTGGGGCTTGGCCTAAGCCAACATCACGTAAGGCCCCCAGAACCCTCAGTCATGAAAGCCCTCAAACCCATGTCGAGACTGAGTCCTTGCTCACGGAGTTCCCAAGCCCTAAACCCTAAACCCTAAACCCCAAACCCTAAACCCTAAACCCTAAACCCCAAACCCTGGTGTGCATCTCTCCTTCTCAAGTGCTGCTTGGGCCCTCTGACCTCGTAACAGGCTGCCATGGCAGATGAGCCCGAGGAGCCCGGCTTGGAGAAGGCGCTGTGTGCCCATGAGATTGTCCTGATATATGAAGTGGTGCGGGGTTTAGGGTTTAGGGTTTAGGGTTTGGGGTTTGGGGTTTGGGGTTTAGGGTTTTAGGGTTTAGGGTTTAGGGTTTACGATATTAGGGGTAACTTCTTGGGTCCTTTACTACAAGGGAACCCTACTTTTGGGGATCTAATTTCGGGGTCCCTGATTTTCCCAAACCCCCACATGATGAGTTCTCTAATTAGGGCCCCTTCGTGCGCACCCTAAGCAACAGGGGGCCGCGTTTCAAAAGTAACCCTTGATGCATGCTTGATTCGGGATGGCAGGTCAAAGAGTACCTGGTCCGTTGTCTCATGGTCGACAGCAGCGGTTCGAACTACATGCCCGGCGGCCATGCCACATGCTCAGCTAAACCTTGAGCCCAAAACCCAAAACACAATGAATTTCTCAATCAGGCTGGCAGGACACAGAGAGGTGAAGAGCCTGCTGCAAGCGGGTGCGTTGCAATGGCTCTTGCACAGGTTGTTTTGCCATGCTTGACAAGAAGCCTTCGACTCAGGTGCTGGACTTGCATGGAATGGACGTGCACTCTGCCAAGGCATGTCTGTGTAAGTTGTTGGTCCCGAAGCTGTTCAGATGGGCCCGAAAGGCACATGTGCGCCTTGTGGCAGGCCGCTGTTCGCCTGGCCCTGGACGATGCCAAGCGCCAGGCTTGGGAGAACTTATTTTCTCGTTTTGTTTGCCCTAAACCCTATACCCTAAACCTTAAACCCTAAACCCTAAACTTCATCTGGCATGCTGCCAGGAAGACGTTCAAGGCGCCCTTCTCATCATCACCGGCCGAGGCGGGGTTTCACGGCAACTTTGAGAACAAAGAAATATATATATATATATATATATATATATATATATATATGGGGTTTCCGGAAACAAGGAACCCCTAAACTAGACCCCAAATAGTAGGATCCCCTTAGAAAACTAGACCCCAAATAGTCGGATCCCCTTAGAATTAGGACTCCCAATAAGGTGCCCCCTAATATCGTAAACCACCGTATGTTAGCAGCCAGAAGCATCACGATGTGCTCGCCATCTTTGCCTGGTCCCTGGGCCCAGGGAAGGACAGCGAGGACGAGCACTCTATTGTGCAGTCAGAGGTGGCAGCGCTGCTACAGGCAGCAAGGGGGGGCATGGGAGTGGACAGTATGGCATTGCAGGCATGCACGAGTCCCAGCACACACAGGACGAGCTGAGTATCCGGGCACGGCCAGCAGAGGGTGGGGGTGGCTTCTACGTTCCGTGGAAAGAGGCGGGCAGCTGATGAGCAGCTGATGCTACTTCCCCAAGCAGTCATTCCCGAGACAATCTGTGCGAGGTTCTGCGCTTGCAGCGAATCCATCTTGGAGACACGCCCGACCCGGCAAAGCCGAAGAGAAGACAATGCATGCCATACTCGATTCCAAAAGGCTGACAGGCATCCACAGAAATTCTGCCTCACTTTGCATCATGTGCTGACTGACCATTGAGCAGATGAGCTGCTGATGCTCTTCGGACAGTCACTGGCTGGTTCTTCGTAGGGAATGAGGGACTTAGGGCCCTGTATACTCCCTTAAAGGGTACATATATATATATGTATATATATATATATATTTGTATGTATAGGGCCTCATTCCCTACTAAGAACCAGAAATGTCAAGCTTCAGCTCAGCTCGTGATTTGGGAGACATGCCGGGCGCCCACCTGCACCAGCTCGGCCCGGCTGTGCCACCACTGCCAAGGCGTGCGCGTGACTTCGCATGAGGACGAAATGGATGATAGTCAATTAAGACTAAATACGACAATAATATACAACAATATACAATAATATGATAAAAGTAAGATGACACTACAACACCATGTCTGAAGCTGTGCTTCTGGAATTCTATTGGCGAGGTCTGGTCCGTTCCGACTCCAGAGCCAACGCTAGCCGGGCACAGCCCAAAAAGGGGCGGCTGCTTTTGCCACCACTCTGAGTTTAGGGATCACAGGGAATAGGGTTTGTAGGATTTTAGGTTTAGGGTTTAGGCTTAAGAGCCTCCGTTCCTTCCGAGCCCCTTTGCGTCGGTCACTCAAGACACATTCTGCGGGGACAGTCTCGCCTGGGTGCGCTTGAAGCCCCGGAAGTGCAATTCAAAAAAGTTGCACCGGCTCGGGTGACGTGGCGTGACGCAGCCTGCAACTTTTTTTCCTTGGATCCTTTTTGGAAGGTACATAGAGCAGCTGAAAACTTTGCAAGACGAGGCATCGCGGGAGTTTCACGTGCTGTCGTTGCATCGCCTTTTAAGTAGAGACGTGCAGGCCATTGCATGATCAGTGACCAGTCGGTCGAATTTGCTTGCTGGCCGAAATCGCTTTCCATTGTTTTCGAGTTTGTGAGCAGGCCCCACCCGCCCTCCCAAAGAATGTTGCGGACCTGCTGTGTAGCGTCGTATACTAGGAGACCCTAGACCCCAAACCCCAGACCACTCTAGACCCTAAACCCTGAACCCTCAACCCTCAACCCTAAACCCTAGTCTTTGAGAGCCTTAATTCTCCATGCAGGTTCCTCCCTTTAGCGGGGCTCGTGCGCTGAAGATCATCGAGTCGGAGCTTGGCAAGCCAGCGGGCGGCCGAGGATCAAGATTCAAGGATCATTACTGAATCATTACTGTTTAAGGTTTGGGGTTTAGAGCGTTTAGGGTTTAGGAATTAGGGTTTAGGGTTTAGGGTTTAGGGTTTGGGGTGAGCTTTACTCGGGTTTAGAGCTTTCATTGAGGAGTGGGACCTCACGTCCCTCCTTTCCGAACTCCAGGCCAGTGAGCTCTTCGAGGAGTTCGATGACAACCCAATGGCTGCCGCCTCCCTCGGGCAGGCGCCCTTTGGCGTGACTTCATCTGCGATCCTCCTTTAACAGCACCCCCTGAAAAGCTGCGCAGCGCTGCAAGACAGCAGATGATGTTTAGGGCTTAGGGTGGCTTATCAGCTCCGCATGTAATGCCTTCTCTTTACTTCGAGGCTCCCAGGGGTTGTCCAGTCTTCGCAACGCCTGCGCTGCAGCACTCAAGCACCTCAGAAGTAGTTGTGCCAATGGTTGGACCAATTCTTACTAGCAATCATCCGATCCGGCTTGGCATAGTATGTGTAGTTCTCTAAATTAGGGCCCCTTTTTGGGTCCATATTATAAGGGTGCCGTACTATATAGGGACCCAAGAAGGAACCCTTACTTAGATAATTACCCATATGGTAGCATCACGCAAGACGCCCGTGTGGTAGTTGACCAGATAGGGCAAAGACGGAAGGATCTGCGACATTTTGGCTCCAGCTGAGTCACAGACACTAAATTCACCACATCGAAACCAGACGCAAGCTTATCTGGAGGAAAGAGGACTATATTTAAGCAGAAAGCGCATATGTTGGGCATCAACGTTGACCAACCGTCTCTCTCTCTCTCTCTCAAACAAAAACATGGATCCGTGCTCACTCTTCAATGGGCCCAGAATAGGGTTTCAGGTTTAGGGTTTAGGTTTGCCAGCTCTCGCCATGTGCACCACTGCACTTCTGCCGATGTAATCCTGCGGAGCCGTTTATGGGTGAAGGTGGCCGCAAGCGGAAATGGGGAGGCAAAGGTGGCAAGAGCAAAGCTGGCAGAGGAAAGAGCAAGGGCAAGGGTAAGTCCGGATCCAAGGCCAAGCAGGACAAAGGCCGGGTGTCGCGTCTCGGGTTTGTGGGTTTTTCTCCTTTCGCTCTACTTAATCCTTCTTTTTTGCGGTGTGTTCTAGCTCCATGTGTATATGTCAATATATGCTTGTTATATATATGTATACATATATGTATATATATCTATATGGTGCAGCGTCGCTGCCCCCCCCCCACCCCCCCCCCCCCCACCCCCCCCCCCCCCACCCCCCCCCCCCACCCCCCCCCCCACCCCCCCCCCCCCCACCCCCCCCCCCACCCCACCCCCCCCCCCCCCCCCATGGTCCCCCCCCAAATTCTTTCCCCGCCCCGCCCCCTGTGGTTTGGGCCCCCCTGTGGGGTGGTGTGGTTGGGGTTTGGGTTTAGGGTTTAGGGTTTAGGGTTTAGGGTTCAGGAATCAGGGGTCAGGGTTCAGGGCTGCTGGGACTGCGGACAAGTCTCCACGACGTCTGGTACTAAGAACATGCAGCTATCGCTGTGTAGCCGCAGTAAGAAGACAAAAACATGCATGTAATTAAGGGTTCAGGGTTTAGGGTTTAGGTTTTAGGGTTTAGGGTTTAGGGTTCCCCCAAATGCTTTCCCCGCCCCGCCCCCCTGTGGTTTGGGCCCCCCTGTGGGGTGGTGTGGTGGGTTTGGGTTTTGGGTTTTGGGTTTTGGTTTTTGGGTTTTGGGTTTTGGGTTTTGGGTTTTGGGTTTTGGGTTTAGGGTTTAGGGTTTAGGGTTTAGGGTTTAGGGTTTAGGGGTTTAGGGGTTTAGGGGTTTAGGGGTTTAGGGGTTTAGGGTTTAGGGTTTAGGGTGTAGGGTGTAGGGTTTAGGGTTTAGGGTTTAGGGTTTAGGGTTTAGGGTTTAGGGTCCGCGCCCCGCCCCCCTGTGGTTTGGGCCCCCCTGTGGGGTGGTGTGGTTGGGGTTTGGGTTGAGGGTTTGGGGTTTGGGGTTTAGGGTTTAGGGTTTAGGGTTCCCCCAAATTCTTTCCCCCGCCCCGCCGCCCTGTGGTTTGGGCCCCCCTGTGGGGTGGTGTGGTTGGGGTTTGGGTTTTGGGTTTTGGGTTTTGGGTTTAGGGTGTAGGGTGTAGGGTTTAGGGTTTAGGGTTTAGGGTCCGTTTGGGCCCCCCTGTGGGGTGGTGTGGTTGGGGTTTGGGTTGAGGGTTTGGGGTTTAGGGTTTAGGGGTTTAGGGTTGAGGGTTGAGGGTTTAGGGGGGGTGGGGGGGGGGGATACCATGGGGGGGTGGGGGTACCGACACGGGACACGGAACCATATATATATATATATATATACACTCTCTCGCTCTCTCTATCTCTCTCAGACATATGTATATATATATATATGCACATATGTATGTTTATATAGTTGTTGGGAGGGTGGGGGGGGGGGTGACCGTGTATGTATATACATACATATACACACACATTGATTGGTTTATCTATCTATCTATCTATCAATGTATCTATCTATGCACACATATATATATATATATACATATATATATATATATATATATATGACGCGCACTGTCTTAGATGCCAGGCGCGCCATGCAAGAGGCCGAAAGGGCCGGTCCCCCCAAGGGCCCTCCTCATCACCAGCCACACACCGAGCCAATGCAGCAAGGCTGGGTCCCGGTGTCCTTAGTTTAGGGTTTAGGGTTTAGGGTTTAGGGTTTGGGCTTTGGGCTTTGGGCTTTGGGGTAAGGGTTGTTTTTTTTTTTCGCTAAAACCCTACAGCGAGCCCTGAACCCTCTTGCTACTGTTGACCTACCCTTCGGGCAACTCCTTGTGCTTCTGGAGCCCTGAGAGGCGACTCGAGAAGCCATCCGACTGCTGGAAGCTCGGCTAAACTTGGCTAAACGGAGGGTCTCGGGCCGATTCGGGCCTAGAACTCGTAGTGTTCGAAGAGGCTTTGGGAGGTTCAGGACTTCAGTACTAGAGGCGGCGGAATTCTGGTTTGGAGTTGAGGTGTGTTGGAGTGTCACTGCCATGACCTGCCCGCAGTGAGAAAGGGAATTCTGTTAGGAATAAACCTTCAACTCGTTTTTTGGAGGAGGCCGCTTCGGAGGCGCTGCGAAAAGCGCCCGAAGCCAAAGAGGACATGAGCAGATTGCCCTGGGTGAGTTTTGGGAGCACCCTAAACCCTAAACCCTAAACCCTAAACCCTAAACCCTAAACCCTAAACCCTAAACCCTAAACCCTAAACCCTAAACCCTAAACCCTAAACCCTAAACCCTAAACCCTAAACCCTAAACCCTACCCTAACCCTAAACCCTAAACCCTAAACCCTAAACCCTAAACCCTAAACCCTAAACCCTAAACCCTAAACCCTAAACCCTAAACCCTAAACCCTAACCCCCATGATGCATTTACGAGGAGACTCCAGCCGCGCGGTCGGCAGGCGAGTCACTGGAGTCGGAGCTTCAAGCCTTGAGGCGCTCATCGTAGCGGGCTGTGTGAGCAGCTCCTCTTACACCTGGACCCTGCCCACCCAAAGCCTCCCTCCCACTTTTATCAAAACAGGCCAGAAATTCAGATTCCCCCCCTCCCCCTCCCAAGATCCTCAAGGCCTTGAACATGACCCTACGCAAACCTTCTGTGTGTCCGTGGTCAGGGGGGACGGAGCAGCGAAGCCGCCGAGGCGACCTTTACACTTCTACTGTGAGGCGGGAGCTCTGTGGGTCAATGGGGGACCTTGCGGGCGAGGAAGACCAGCAGAGTCAGTAGAGCAGCTCGGTCTAGGAAATCCAGTTTGCGCGTTGCAATCGTCAGAAAGAAAGCAGACTACTGCACTCGTACCGAACGGCCCTCATGGAAGCTGTGCCATTATGTGCCATGCTGAGAGTTTTCTGCAGGTCAGCCGCGGTGTTGCGCTCCTGGCCTGTCCGGGAGAGGAGGCCCTGCTCACTTCCTTACGCTCGGGAATTCTCGGGAAGCTGCATATATATAATCCCTTAAAGGGTATATATAGGGACCTGATTCGCGCATCCCCGGCAAACCAACAGTAAGGTGGCTGAATGCATAGACCCCACGCATCACTGTATCACTGCTCGAGGCTGTGGATTTTCCTTCTCCGTCCGCGCTGGTGCAGCGTGTGTTTGCTCAGCAGCGTGATGGCGGGCACGATGTGCAGGCATGCCAGGAACAATGGGGCAACACGGGTGTGTGTTGTTTTGCTGCACTGGAGTTACTCCTGGAAGAAGCCATGTTTGCATGCCCCCGTTTGTCAGGCAGCGCGGTTCGTGTGTCGAATGGCACCGTTTGATTATGTCTGCCCGCCCCATCTCAAAAACTTCCAGGCAAGGGCATGGGAAGAGGTGGTAGAATCGTTGAACTGCATTAACTGTGCGACTGCACAACTGCAGTCACAGATGCCAGGCAACTGCTGCGGCCGTTTTGCCCGGAGCACTTGCGAAAGCAAGAGAAGGCGCAGCAGCTCGATTGCAGGACCTAATTTGTCAGGCTCTCTTTTAGGGTTTAGCGGGGTTTTGGGTTTAGGGTTTAGGGTTCAGGGTTCCTCGTGCCTTGAGACATCGTTGTCAACTTGGACACTGAAAGTGGTCGTCACGGGCGACATTGTGGGCCACGCCATGGGTGCTACATTACAGGCTTTAGGGTTTCGGGTTTAGGGTTTAGGGCTTAGGGTTTAGGGTTACGCCGAGGGTTGGTACTTCGCCTTCCACAGCCGCGCCATGAGCACCATCAAGCGCGATGAAGCCATGGGAGTGTTGTGGACTCAGCTACACCGGCATGTAGAATGCAAGAAGCCCTGAATGCCCTAAGCCCAAACCCTAAACCCTAAACCCTAAACCCTATGTCGCAAGTTCTGAGAAGGCTAAAGCAAGTGTTGGCCCCCTTGCCCGTTGAGCTCTCCGTGTCTGATGCCGAGCACCTCGGCTCTTTGGGGCAGTTGGTGCAAGTTGCAGAGGGTTTAGGGTTTAGGGTTTAGGGTTTAGGGTTTAGGGTTTAGGGTTTAGGGTTTAGGGTTTAGGGTTTAGGGTCTTGCAGCTTCTTCTGCAGCTTCGCAAGGTACATGGTTGTGATCGAGGCAGGGGGTGTGAGATCACACTGCTGCTCTCCGCATCTCTCATCTTGCGGCCTGCATGGCGCATGAAGGTGAACCCGGTTCTTTGCGGCTTCTCTGTTCTACAAGACTATGAGGGTCTTCTCCATGAGTGCAATCTGCAGAAAGCCTGCGAAGTCTACGAGAACAAGGCCGCCATGTGAGGATGGTCATGTCTTGGTGCTTTCATGGTTGGCCCGCCCAGCCCCCCCCCCCCCCCCCCCCCCCCCCCCCCCCCCCCCCCCCCCCCCCCCCCCTTCCCGAAAAGCTTGTCCAGCTAGTCAAGTTGAAAAATCAATAGCATTCCTGACGAGCTTTGACAAGGCGGCAAGTGAGCTCGAAAGCGAGGATGAGCCAGAGGAGGAAGCAGACGACAGCGAGTCTGATGAGGACGAGGGTGAGCCAGCAGCTGAGACTGAGAATCCAGAAGCTGCCAGCAACCTGCCCGAGTCGTGATCGCGCTTCGGCTGGAGAAAAGATGCGGCAGCCTGCCACATTAAGCCCAAGACGCTTAGTCCAAGATAAGCCCTCAAACCCCAAAGCGAAATACCCCAACACCATTGAAGATTGCGCGAAAGGGCTGCTGTGGTGGGGGGCTTGTAGGTGCACAGAGCCAAGACGAAGGATGGCAAAGAGTTGGCCATCAAGGCCCGGAATCAAATTTGCAGAAGCTTGGGTTCAGGTTTAACACCGAGTCAGATGCCTCTGACTCTTGATTTTCGTTGAGCAGCCCCAGAAGTCACGAGTGGAACCTGCCTTGAGATTCAGCGAGACAAGCTGAAGGAAATGTACGATCTGGCTGCGTTCTCAGAATTTAAACAGAGGGTTTACGGTTCAGGGTACAGGCTTCTGTTTGGGGGATCTCGCCAGCAAACCTTGGGCCCTAAACTCTAGACACACCTCCAGACCCTAAACCCTGAACCCTCAACCCTCAACCCTGAACCCTGAACCCTCAACCCTAAACCCTAAACCCCTAAACCCTAAACCCTAAACCTGCACACCCCCCCACCTACCCCCAATGTGTACTGGCATCATCGTGTTGGGTGAGGGGAGTGAAGCTGTGCGATTAAAGCAAGCTTGCGCCCTTCAAACCCTATAAAAACCCTGTAATCCCGAAATCCCGAAACTAAATTCATGGCCCAGGACTTGGCGCAGTTTGACAAGGCCCGCGGCGCTATGGGATTGCGGAGCTTCGGGTTTAGGGTTTGAGTCGGGTCCTTTTGGGGTCTTTGGAGTTTATTGTACAAATTGATTACATGGGGGTTTTACGAAAGTTAGGGTTTATGAAATAACCCCCCCAAATGGTCGGATTCCCTTATATTGAGGATGCCAATAAGGTACCCCGAACTTCCGAAACCCCCATATCGTTTAGAATTTCAGGAGGGCCCATAGTGTAATCAACCATACCCCTTGGCTTCTTTGAGCAATGCAAAAATGTGCACCCCTCCCACATGCCAGTTGGCCCGCCCTTGTGGTACAAGTAAGTTATCGAAATTGTGGTCCTTGACTTGGTCCACGTTGCAGGATGGCCCCTTAGGGCAAAAGAAAGGACTGTAATTCTGGAACTAGCTATGTCTGTAAGTTAACCGATGATTGCCAGATCCGAAGACCATGACAACACCCACTTTAACCACGATGCATGTGCAAGGTGGACCACTCCTGCTACCAATGTTTGAACTCGCCCGCCCAAGCTTCACAGTCACAATGTTTGGCATTTAGCTAGTAATTCCGAAACCCGAAAAACCTAAAACCCAAACCCTAAACCCTAAACCCTCAACCCACCCTAAACCTAAGCAGTTAGGAGTTCACGGGTTGACGGGCAGCTCTTTGACAGATTGCCGTCATGCTGGACAAGTACAAGATCGGGGTGGAGGGTGCTTCGCAGGCAGGACCCCCAGGAGGTCGCTGCGAAGCTGCACACTACTTGGAGGTTCATGGTAGGGTTTAGGGTTTAGGGTTTAGGGTTTAGGGTTTAGGGTTTAGGGTTTAGGGTTTAGGGTTTAGGGTTTAGGGTTTAGGGTTTAGGGTTTAGGGTTTGTTATTTGGGTTATAAGTACAGTTAGAACAAGTAGGTCAGACCCCCTTAAAGCCTCAAACCCTAAAGCCTTAAGAACCCGTTTAATTCAATAGGGGGTCGAAATAACTACAAATAGTATCCCCTTTTGGTCCCTACATAAGGATGCTATAGGAACCCCCCAAAGCCCTACTCTGTGAAGGTTTGGGTCGACATGTTCGAGGATGCGAAGGTGGGGCCTCCATTCGGAACCTGTGTGGGGTTTAGGGTTTAGGGTTTAGGGTTTAGGGTTTAGGGTTTAGGGTTTAGGGGGGGGGGGAACGACTTGGGATGTGAGACGGTGCCAGGTTGTGCAGCAGCTTGCGCTCACTCCTTCACCGGCCCGAAACATCTCCGTTCTTAATTTCCAAGGTCATTCTCTACCGAGAAATAGATTACATGGCGGAGGCGCGGCCGAATCTCCAGGATCTGGTGCCATGCGCCATGCGAGATTGTTTAATGGATGCGTTGAGGAAAGAACCGTGCGTCCAAACTTTCAGGCCGAGAACACGCGACGGTGGACGGAGAATTTCAAGAAGGCCGATATTGCATTAGCTCACCCAGAATGAATTTCCTGTGCAGCTCTTGACAAGGTGAAGTGGGTCACGAGCCCTGAAGTCGTAGATGAGTGCCTGCCTGGCACGTTGTTATGGCAGGATCCCTGGCACTGTTTGTGAATTTTGCTGGGTGCCTGCACTGGGAGCCGGTGCCAGTCACTACCTCCAAAGTGTTGGCACTCACTTTCATCGCCGGCACCAAGATCTCGGACAGCTTGCCACCCGACACACCAGGGGGTTTCCGAAAATAGGACACCCCCAAATAGTAAGATTCTCTTAACATAAGGACCCAATGAGGTACCCCGATTCTCGGAAACCCCCACCATGTGCACTCGCTTTGAAAAGTTCGGTTCACAAGAGTGAGGGGCTCCTTCAGGACCTCGACAAGCTCGAAAAGCAAGGCTTCGACAGGACGCTGCTCGCCAAAAATCTTGCGCAGGCGGGTTAAGGGTTAGGATTTTGGGAGGAGATGTTTTGACAACGTGGCTTTTTGTCCGTTGAACCCCTGTCACAGATCTCTTGGCCAGGCATATCTGCTCCAGTTCTGCAAGTACGGCTTCTTCAACACGGACTGCACAACTTGACGTCATCATGAAGCACTCAACCCTCAACCCTCAACCCCCCTAAATCCCTAAATCCCGAAATCCCTAACTCCCTAAATCCCTACATCCCTAAATCTATACATCCCTAAACTCCCCGAAATCCACCGGAGTTCAGGATCCGCATCCTGGCAACTTGGCCGTGGATGATCAGTACCCTGGGGGCCGGCTGATCTTCTACGACTTCGGCCAGGCAGATGCTTTAGGAGGGGTTCGGGTTTAGGGTTCAGGGTTCAGGGTTTCGGGTTGAGGGTTTAGGGTTGAGGGTTTAGGGTTTAGGGGTTAGGGGTGGGAGTGCGGGGGATGAGTATAGGTCTTGTAGGGGTAGGGGGTAGAGTCGGGTAGAGATGGGGATTCTGTAAATATTAGGGGATGAGTATAGGCATCCATTCCGGCACTCCAAGCCTTTGCAACCTCTCTCTTTCACACATGGGTACACACAGATATGTATGTATGTATGTATGTATGTATGTATGTATGTATGTATGTATGTATGTATGTATGCAATGTCATGTAATGTCATGTAATGTAATGTAATGCAATGTATTGTAATGTAATTTAATGTAATGTATGTATGTGTATTTTCTATATATATATACATATATATATATATGCACATAGGCTACAGTATATGTATGTATATATATATATATATACATACATACCCTAAGCCTTAAGAACCACTAAACAGTTCTTGGGAATGGGCCGCAAAATGCAAAGGCATGCGAGCTCACCGACGGCCAGGCAGATGGCATCCTGCAGGCCCAGCTATTGTAGGGCTTCTACTTGTTAGGGTTTAGGGTTTAGGGTTTAGGGTTTATAGGGTTTAGGGTTTAGAGAGAGCGTAAGGGTTTGCTCTCTCCATTTGCCCGAGCTTCGAAGGTGATCCAGTCCATTGTGGACTTCGAGGCCAAAGACTGCGTGAAGGCGAGTATCCGGGCCTTTTCGGGGATGTTGTTGGTAAACTCAGAGGTTCCAAGGAGACTCGAATATCATCCCTAAATCACGGAATCCCCCCCAAAACTGGAATAGGGATCCTGATATGGTTAAAGGAACCTTACGGGATGGTACGGTGTCCGGGTGCTCCTTAGAGTACAGGACGCTCCAAAGGAAGCGATCTAGGCTGACAGCCGGCTTTCCGCCTTGGGATTGAAGGGTTGTTACATGGTCCCTTATGGCGGTCCTTTACGGGGGCAGGGTCGAGAAAACATCACGTTAAGAGTCGAGAAGACATCCATGTTAAGGCTTCAGTGCGCATCCCTCCCCAGTTTTGGGCCAGCCCCCCAGGCGGCTTGCTTTGCATCTTTGGGCCCCCCGCAAAATTCATTTGGTTTTTTTTGTTGGTCCCTGGCAAAACGCGTCACATGTGCGATGCTCCGTACCCGGCGGGGGCTGCCCGCAATGCATTCTTCAGCCGCTGTAAAATGCACGGGGCCGACCTGGATACGCGGGAGGCGCGGCAGCGCTGTCCCCGGAGGGTCTTCGTGCAGTTTTCAGTCGCCGTAAAATGCATCGCCTTTGAGAGAACTGTTTCGAGAAGAAAAGCTATAAAAGGACACTGAAAGGTAGCCTTACAGATCGATGCAATTTTTAAGAGATTGTTTTGTGGTGCAGATTGGGGCCCTCGTAAAACAGGCCCCGAGCAAAACGCGTCACATGTGTGACGCTCTGTAGCTGAGAACAGCTGCAAAAATGAAAACAATAAATTGAATTTTCAATTCATATTTACATAGAAGCCAACGTAAATATTCAAAATTTATCGTAGAGGCAGAAGTCTGACTAGAGCATTTATAAAAATGAATCCGGGGGTACATGATGTGATAAATGTTCGTTGTCTTGTTTTGAGTTGTCAGGAGTACGAATGACTGTCCTAAAAGCACGACACTCCAGACCCTAAAAATCCCTAAACCCTAAAAAGTTCTAAGCCCTAAAGCGCCCTAAACCCTAAAAAGCCCTGAACCCTAAAAGGCCTTAATCTTTAAAAGGCCCTAAGCCCGAAAAAGCCCTGAGCCCTAAAACCCCCTAAAAGGCCCTCACCCCCTAAAAAGCCCTAAGCCCTAAAAAGCCCGAAGTCCAAAACGTTCAGTATAAAACCTAAGCTGAGCAAGAAACCCAATGGGTAGGTCAAAATGAGAAGAACATAAGCAACCCAATAAACAAGCGCAGAACACGATTTTTCAAAGACCCACGCATTGCTACTAAACCTAAAAAACACTAAATAACAAGATAAATTAAGACAGTTAATGAACCAAGTCCAAAAAATTGAGTATAAAACCAAAGCTGAACAAGAAACCCAATGGGTATGTCAATATAAAAACAACACAAGCAACCACGTAATAGCCCAGAAAGCAATTTTCCAGAAACACAGACATCGTTACGAAACCCACAAAACACGAACACAAAATAAGAAAACACTACAAAAACCAAGTCCCAAACATTGAGATGCAAAACACAAAAAAAGGGGGGCGCACACTGAAGTCTTAACACGGCTCTTTTTTCGACACGCGGAGTGTCGAAAAAAGCGCCGAGTTAAGATTTGAGTGCGCATCCCAGGGCGCGGACTGGACAGAGAACTCTTCAGAACCCCCCCAACGATGCGCACTCAGGTCTTAACATGATGTTTACTCGACCCGTCTACCGTCCTTTACTTTCTTCAAGCGGTTCTGAGTTTTTTTAAATGGCGCATGTAAGGGGTATATAAGGGTTACCCAATTAAGGGCCCATTCTAAGCGGCCACGAAACAAACCCTAAACCCCTAAACCCCTAAACCCCTAAACCCTAAACCCCAAACCCCTAAACCCTAGACCCCAATCCCCTAAACCCCTAAACCCGAAACGTAAAGTGCCCTAAGATGGTATCAAAGACAGTTGGAGGCAATGGACAGTTTGGGCTGCCTCAAGGAGGGGACCGACTTCAAGGCCAATCTCGGGAGCCATCATGTCTTGAGTGGCACATCATAGGGTTTAGGGTTTAGGGTTTAGGGTTTAACAGCTACAGTAAGATGCCGCACCCCTGATGAGAGGCGGTGGAAGGTGTTGTTCAGAAGAACTTCGAAACCGGAAAGGCTGAGAGATGGAGTTGGCAAGGATGTCATGGCACCGCAGCTGGCTGGGGCTTAGTAGGGAATGATTGCGCCCTCATTCCCTCATTCCCGACTATGAACCCGGGGGACAGTCTCTGACAGGTAAAGAGCAAGCGAAGCAAACGAAAGCGTGAACTGACAGAGGATCGCAGTTGTGTTGTTGCAAGCCTGTGCTGGAGTTGGCATGCGAGCAGTTGCTGTGACAGAGCACAAGCACGCATGTTCAGATGATGCGTTCAGCCAAAAGCTTTTTCAAACCTGTAGCTCCCGGAAGGAAGAGCAGAACAAGAAAGCGCCAAAGCAGTCTGAGGTGATGAAGTTCGCCGCTCCTGGTTGTTGCGTTTGGGGTTTAGGCGGATTATCGGACTCTCGAAAAACCCACTGGCAATGCTTGGCAGGTACTTCCAGCTCCCTCCAGCCCTTGCCTTCGTATCCCGAGCGATCACTCAAATGCAGGGTGTCGGTGTAATGCTGGACGAGGATGCAGCTTGTGTGCAACCCAATTGCGCGACGCCTCTACTTGTTGCAAAGCTCAGTTTAGGGTTTAGGGTTTAGGGTTTAGGGTTTAGGGTTTAGGGTTTAGGGTTTAGGGTTTAGGGTTTAGGGTGAGCACCTGCAATCGGCGCGGCAGGACTACGAGTTCATTGACTTCGTAGCCGACAAGGCGACGCCAAAATTGCAGAGTCATCTTTCTGGCTATAATATATATAATATAACATATAGTCATCCTTTGGGCTCTTGGCAGTCTGAAAAGTCCTGTTAAAGTGACGTGGCACTGGTCATCTGACATGCTGTGACTAAAATATAGAAATGCCTACCTGTAGGTAGGGCACCGAAGGATTCCTTGCATGACCCGACATACTGCACGCCCTGGCTAAACCACCTAACCCTTTTCATCCCGCTGGTTCTTAGTAGGGAAGGAGGGAATTAGGGGCCCGATGTATACCCTTCACTATTTCAGGAAGTATATAGGGTCCCCAAATGATCCCAAGAAAATCCCTTAAAGGGTGTATATATATATATATAGGACTTTTTAAGGGATTGTATAGGGTACCTCATGCCCTCATTTCCCTGCTACCCGGAACCCGAAACCCTAAAAAGAAGCGGCCCTGGGAGAGGTGCCGGAGCTGCAGGTTGAGCGGGGTGCTGGCATCAGTGAGCCCGGCTCGATTAGGGGATCGGGGGGGCGGGGGGGTTTAGGGTTTAGGGTTTAGGGTTTAGGGTTTAGGGTTAGGGTCTGGGGTCTAGGGTTTCGGGGAAGGGGGCGGCGGTGCAAGAGGGCGTGACTGTGCACCAACAAGCCGTGACTGTGCACCAACAAGCCCCCCAACAAGACACCCGAAAAGTCCCAACATGAGCTCCAGCCCTAAGGTTGGGAGAGAAGCTCCAGTCGTTCAGAATGGGCGTTCTAGATTACGGTCCCCTGGTTTGGGCTTGACAGCGAGGGTCCACACCATGGGATCCTTAAGAGAGACCACTGCTCTAACTGGGGCATGTGATGTGCCGCTTCAAATGGGTATGTTTGTATGGGGTTTACGATAAGCAGGGACCCCGAATAGAGACCCCCAAATAGTAGGATCGCCCAACAGAAGGACCCCAGCTCGCAGGGACTTAGAAGGATGCCACAGCTCGAAAGGCTTCCCATGCTCTTGACGAGGAATGACGAGGAAAAGACGGGCACCTTGAAACAAGGAATCCGGGGTTTTGGGCTTGGGGTGTGGGGGCGCCGTGCTTGGCATTTGCCTGAATGTGACCTGACAGGCTACGTTGCCGGGCAGCTCTTCAAGAATTGGACGAGAGGGTGACTGCTTTGGAATATCTGGAAGGTGTGTGCTGAACCTGTAGTCAACGTTCTTAACACATATTACTCACAACATCTCAACACCTCCGTGAAGCACCCTATCAAACCCTGAGCCTTAGAGCATCATTCTCGAGACATCATTCTCAAGACGCTGCGGACAAGCTCTCGTTCGACTTTGACAGCTGGCCTTCATGGTCACGTGTGGCAAGGCCACAGAGCTGCGCCGAACAGGCTTGAACAGTCTGGCAGTCCGGAATTGAGTTTTAGGGTGTATGGTTACCCTAAACCCGAAACCCTAAACCCTAAACCCTAAACCCAAAACCCTAAACCCTGAACCCTAAACCCTAAACCCTAAACCCTAAACCCTAAACCCTAAACCCTAAACCCTAAACCCTAAACCCTAAACCCTAAACCCTAAACCCTAAACCCTAAACCCTAAACCCTTCCGGTTTGCATTTTCCATGGGCGTTTGTTGCCCTTCCTTCGACCGGCGAAGCCTGGAGATTTTTCAGACTCGGCTGAGTGGCAATGGGCCAGTTCGCTGTCCGTTCCAGCATTGCCGGACGAAGGTTAACTATTGTTAATACCTGTTAATGGTCAGACTGAGTTGGAGACCTGCGGGAAACGTTCACTGCAGCTCCAACGACTCTGCAAGCTTGCGCGCAGGATTAAGAAAAACGAGGTCACTAGTTGCCTTTGCGCAATATGCGACAGCACCCCGGAATCCTCGGATGCATAGGGAAAGTGGGTCGGTATGGTGTTTTGGTTCATGGTTCAGGGTGCGTGGTGGGGAATGCGGAAGGGATGCGTCTGCCACGTCCTTCTTCTAAGATCCCTAAACCCTAAACCCTAAACCCTAAACCCTAGACCCTAGACCCTAGACCCTAGACCCTAGACCCTAGACCCTAAACCCTAAGCGGGCATCTTGCGCTTGTTCTGCTTTCGGAGTTGATTGGTTCGTCTTCCGCTTTCTGACTGAAGCCCGCTTAGACTGCTTGCTTTGGTCTCAGGTCCCAAGGTCCCGATGGTGGGTTCCTGTTCCTGAACCCCTGAGCCGGAACCCTAAACCCTAAACCCTAAACCCTGAACCCTGAACCCTGAACCCTAAACCCTAAACCGACCCTAAACCCTAAACCTAGGGTTGCGCCGTTTTGCTCTAACAGCTCAGAGGAGTGGCCGTAGATTTAGTGCGGCCTACCGACTGAAAATGGCTGCGCGGTCGCGCCCTCGGAGTCGCCTTTTTGATGTACTTGCCCACCATGTTTAGGGTTTAGGGTATAGGGTATATGGTGTAGGGTTTAGGGTTTAGGGTTTAGGGTTTAGGGTTTAGGGTTTAGGGTTTAGGGTTTAGGCACCATGATGCGAACTCAGGTTGTGGCTTTTGCCTTTGTGCCTGCTGGTGCCATCGCCTTAGCAGCTTAGTATGCCTCACTCTTGTGAGGCCGGAACCCTAAATCCTGAAAACCTTAAACCCTAAACCCTAAACCCTAAACCCCCGAGGCTGGCAACGATCATGGGCCCGTGCGCACGGATTCCAGGCATAACGGCGCCGGCCACCTAATGCTCCAGCCAGTTCAGTCATCCAAAAACTTCTGGACACCCTAAAGATGAAGTAAAGTTACTCAGATTCTATTTGCATTATGAAATAGTACTACTATTCCTCTTGCTATTGTTACTGTTTTGTGTTATTATGATAGTTTTGTTGTTATCCGATTTCAACTGCTACAAAGTCCTGGAATCCTCGGGGCATTCGGGGCCGAGGCCGCCGAAGGTGCGGCCAAAGCCACGTGACAAGCGCAGAGAGCTTGCAAAGGGGCATCGGCCCGAGTTTCTGTTTGTGGTTCAGGGTTTAGGGTTTTTTGCTCGCATGTGCGCTTTTTTTGTGCACAGATGTGCCTGTGGACAGTGGCTTGTGCTTGCCAGGGCAAGGCCCGGGCAAGGCAGACTGGAAGGTGCACAGAAACTCCGTTAGACAACCGAGGCCGCAGAAGGCTGGCATCGTGACACGCGTCTACACGCATGAACCTAAGCGAGGAGTTTCCAGGTATGCAGCAGCAATGGCAGTGTCGTCGTGACGTGTAGGAGTGGGAATAGCGCAAAAGAACGTAACCCAGTGCTGTTACAGCGAGCGCTTGGTAGCTGGGATAGCGACTGGAATCAGGAGCTCAGATCCTCCCAACACGCCCTCGGCAACCACTCTGTCACACATCACCCTGGTTCGGCTTCTGCCTTCACTAACAGGCCGCGAAACTAGAAGAAGCGGGGCCCTTCTGGCAGCCTACCCCAGCAGTCGGGGAAACTGGATAGAATTGGACATCCTCAGCCAGGGCTGTGGGCTGAACACGGCGGCAGCAGAGGTCAACATGCAATATCCACATGATAATATATACACATATTATATATATATATAAGATGTCATGTTCCTATCTAGTCTGGGAGATCCTCAGGATGTCGCCCAAGAAGCCGAACTCCGCCATCCGAAAGATTTGCCGTGCCAGGGCCTTGCAAGTCCGTCAGATCCCTCAAGTCGTCAAGCCTCAGCCTTATTTTAGGGTTTAGGGTTTAGGGATGCTTAGGGTTTTAGGGTTTAGGGCTTAGGGTTTAGGGTTTAGGGTCTCTTTTGAGGGTTGATAAGGGTTTTCAGCCCTGGCTTCTGCCGAGCTCAAGCTGTCCAACGCCTACGAAGTCATCGCCTACATTCCAGGGGAGGGCCACAACCTGCAGGACAAGTTGCCAAAATCCCTAAACCCTAAACCCTAAACCCTAAACCCTAAACCTCAGTTGACACGGAAGCCGTTTTGCCCAGGCCTATCATATGGCTACCTCATTTGAGATAAACTTTTTTTGAGGGTCCTCCGTATGTTCAGGAGTTCTCATCTGTTCTAATGCGCGGAGGGCGTCGTAAGGACCTCGTCGGAGTCAGGCCAGACGCCTTGCAGCTGTGACTATAGGAGGTCTCGAGCGCACACAACCGCTTGCAAGTAGTCCCCTGTCCCGGGCTTTTGTAGGTACAACCTCTGCCGTGGCGCCCGTGATCTGCAGGGAGTGCAGGGCCGCAAACAGTCGCGAAGCAAGTGCCCTGCCGTTGCTTTACCTAGATGAGAGCAAGCCGTCACGACCAAAACAAGTCACGGTGCGCAGGTTTGGGGTTCAAAAGAGGTCTTTGTTCTTTGCTTTCCCTGGTTGCGGCGTGCTTTGCCGCAGGTATGGTGCCGAGAAGCCTGACGACTAGTGAGAAGCCGGCAGCGGGGGCAGGAACAAAGTTGGCATTTGCCCAGGCAACAATCAGCTAAACCATCGGTGCACAGGTCTAGGAGAGCAATCCGGAGTGGGGATGTCGACTGTGGTGCAAGGTGTTAGCCACACTGCGGAGGCACATGCCAATTTTCCTTCAGGATGTACCCTGTGCAAACATCAAGGTGCGGCGGAGCCCCTTGCAAAATGGACATGGGCCTCAGACTAGCTCGCGCCATGCACAGGGAGGGAGGGAGACAGAGAGAGACAGAGACAGAGAGAGAGGGAGAGAGCCGGAGGGCAGCCAATACGGCTGCTTGCGAGTTTTAGCGAGTGCTGAGTCGCAGACGGACGGGGGCGCGCACCAGCGCGGGGGGCCACCCCCATGCCCCAACGAAAGAAAGAAAGAAAGAAAGAGCCGGAGGGCAAAGGCCCTACCAAAAGGGGGCAAGTGGTTGCAAGGGGGTTGTAGACAAAGGGGAAACTACCACGGCAAGAGCAAGCCTCCTGGGGAGAAGAGCACTTGGGGCGCGTTCGCGCGCGGGGGCCTCCCGGGGTTCCCTGAGCCCAGCTGAAGAAGAAGAGGAAGAACAAGAGGAGGAGAATGACCGAACGGGGGTTTTCCCCAAAGAAGGAAGGAAAGAAACAAAGAAAGAACGAGAGCGTAGAATATCGGGGGGGAAGGGAGACTCAGACCATTTCATGAACTGGGTTCTTGAACCTAGTCGCACGACGGCGTCGCATGCGAGCGCGCTCGGGGCTCCTCAGGCCCGCAAGGCCCACAAAGAGAGTGCGGGATGTCTGTCATGGGCATGGCCATCAGAAGAAAAAGAAAGAAGAAAAGAAAGAAGAAGAAGAGGGCACGAGAACGCCAGCTGTCTTCCGTGTGGTAGCTTCACAGGCTTGGAGCTGGGCTGGTGAAGGCAAAGATGACATCACAACGGTCCGCTGCAAAGAACTTGTCCCTGGGCACGCGATGCTTTCCAACACACAGTGGGGCACGCACACCCACACACAGAGCATTGTCAACAACATCTCAGTCAACCTGAAACAGGTCCCCAGTCCCAAGTAACCGAAACAAGAGGGGGGCCTTTGCATGACTCCCCTAAACCCTAAACCTTAAACCTTAAACCTTCAACCTTGAACCTTAAACCTTAAACCTTAAACCCTAAACCCTAAACCCTATGAACCGTAACCCTCGAATGCTATGGCCACTTCCGAGCTGCCGGGATGGGTCACAGCAAATGCCAAGCTGCTCTACGTGCCCTGGCTCGGCGACTTGAGAACCTTCTATATCCCCCTTCTAGGGTTTAGGGTTTAGGGTTTAGGGTTATCTTTTATTTTGGTTTATATGACAACCCAAGAGGATATTAAACATACTATTCTTACTAAGGTTCTAAGGGGAGTACAGCCTTCCCCAAAGCCTAAACTGGGTTTTGGAGCACTATACTTTAATACTTGTTTTTTTTTGTTCTGGGTTCCCGTTGTAGCTACTTATACCTAAAAAGTATTTACATTTTTCCAGGGTCTACTCAAAAGTTGGGTAAGTGGGCATTACCCAAAATAGGGGTATCCTTGTGGGGGGGGGGGGGTTCTTATAATCAGGATTCTACTAGTTTGGGGTATATTAAGGGTACCCCCCCCCCCCCATTTTTGGAAATGCCCAAAGAGCCAACATTCGAGCCCCTTCAGACCCGAAAGCCCTAGCCTTAACCCTTAGATTCAAGCACTTTCTGGTTCCAAAAACCCTACAGATGGTCAGCCCTTAAGTTCCAAGATGGTTTAGGGTTTAGGGTTTAGGGTTTAGGGTTTAGGGTTTAGGGTTTAGGGTTTAGGGTTTAGGGTTTAGGGTTTAGGGTTTAGGGTTAACCCCATTGCAGCCCTCTGCCGTCCCAGCAAAGGTGTCGCGATCCACAGGGAAGGAAATGCCGGTGGCCGTGAAACATGTGTCGAATTCACAGAAAGCGGTGCCTTAGCTCAAAGGGCGAATTCCCGACACTCTTTAAGGCATGTCAAAAGCAGGAAATGTACCCCTTAGCAGATGGCAAGGTTACGATCGTGTTCACTCGAGATGGTGCTTGGCTGCATTTCCCATGTTTTGTCATCAGCTTTCTTTGCCACAAACGCCTCACGAGCACCATAAAAGGCTGTTATTGCAGTTCCGGTTAAGGGTTTACGGTTTAGGGTTTACGGTTTAGGGTTTAGGTTTAGGGTTTAGGGTTTAGAGTTTAGGGCACCGCCAGGCAAGTCTGAAATGCAAGTGCCCTTCAGCCAGATTCTGGGTGAGAAGAGTCCTCTGAAGCTTCCAGATCTTGAGCTCCTGGAGGCTCAATTCTTCAGTTTGGGTTGGGGTTTAGGGGTTAGGGTTTAGGGTGTAGGGGTTAGGGTTTAGGGTTTAGGGTTAGGGTGTAGGGTTTAGGGATTAGGGTTGCTTCTTTCCGGTCTAGATGTTTAGGGGAAGCTGGCAGTGCATGCAGGATGAGTCGGAGAAGTTCTTCGACTCCATGGAAGGTGCCGAGACCGGGGCTAAGCCCATCTTTAGGGTTTAGGGTTTGGGGTTTAGGGTTTAGGGTTTAGGGTTCAGGGTTTGGGGTTTAGGGTTTAAGCCCCCAAAGCCTTAAAAAATTACCGAAACGAACTCGTGGGCAAAGAGGGGCCAAACAAGGTGTTCAAGATGATCCGTCTCTACCATCCAGGCTTTCCACACAGAACAGCACCCTGATGGGGGTTGAGGCTTTCAGGTTTCGGGGAGGCGGCGTTTGTCCCGATGCCACTCTGACTCACATGGCAGCGTGTGGAGGCAAATGGTTCGGCAACACGCAGAACCTGGATCCAAAGGCCTGTCATCCTGGGCTGTTTTGGGTTCAAGTATGAATATTCGCAGAGATAGTAGGAACAACAATAACAATAACGATACTGCTAATGATGATAGTCATAACAATAGTGGGCGTGTTGGAGTGTGGAGTGTGGCTTTGGTGTTGGTGCATGTTGGAGTGTGGATGCATGTGGTGCAGTGTGTGGAGGACTGTTGGAGTGGACAGTGGCCTGTGGACTGTGGACTGTGGACTGTGGACTGTGGACGGTGGCGGCGGCGGCGGCGGGGGCGTGCGGTGTGTGGTGGTGGTGTTTGATTGGTAGCGGTGTGTGGTGGTGTGCGATGGTGTGTGGTGACGTGTGGTGGTGTGTGGTGGTGGTGTGTGGTGGTGGTGTGGTGGTGGTGGTGTGGTGACGTGTGGTGGTGTGGTGGTGTGGTGGTGTGGTGGTGTGATGGTGTGGTGGTGTGGTGGTGTGGTGGTGTGGTGGTGTGGTGGTGTGGTGGTGTGTGATGGGTGTGTGGTGGAGGTATCGTGGAGGTGTGGGGGAGGTGTGGTGGAGTATGGATGTGCTTGGTGGAGGCGTGCTGGAGTGTGGATGTGTGTGGTGGAGTGTGGGGTGTGGAGTGTAGCGGTAGTGGTAGTGGTGTGTCTAACCCATATAATAAGGGGGCATGATATTGACATCAATCCAAGGCTAGTTTTCGTTGTCCTCAGCTGTGGACCTTAGAAAAATATATTTAGACCAACAGCCTTGTTCATAATCGCAGTTCATGATAATGGATAATCATCATGGTCGTAATACTAGTAATTGGTGATAACAATAATGGGGGCCATACAAGACACAGCAAGTGTTTCCATTGCTTGGTGCTTTGTGCCGCGTCTCAGGTGTCTTTGGGTTCTGACAAAGGAAAGTTTGCCTTCGAAGGGCCTTCCGCACCTCCCTTGATGGAGGTCATGAGTCGCTTGGCAGCACTGGAAGGAACCTCCTAAACCTTGTGAAAAAAGGACCTTAATCCCTAAGTCCTAAACCCTAGAACCATTTGCCCTCATAGAGACCCCCCCAAAATTAGAAGCACCCCCTTAATATGCGGACCCCAAGAAAACAAGGTACCCCTCATATCGTAAACCCCCTTGTGAGCGTCTTTTTTCAACGAACCCTAAACCTTAGACAGCCTGAAATCTCGCCGCGGAAGCAGCGGCAGAAACCCCTGAACCCCTGAACCCCTAAACCCCTAAACCTTAAAACCTTAAACCCTAAACCTTAAACCCCTAAACCTTAAGCCCTAAGCCCCTGAACCCTAGAACCTTGCGAGCGTTTTCAACCAGAAAGCTCGATCTTCAGGTAGCCCCGAGATGGATCACGATCCAACCCCGAGGAGGTGAGGCAGTTTGCTGATACCCCACCTTTCACGTGCACACCCGCGCTCCATATACCCTCAACCCTCAACCCTAAACCCAACAGCCAGAAGGGTTGCCTCAGCAGGAAGAAGGAGAAGCGATCCAAGGAAGCGAAGGAGCGCCAGGAGCGCCAAGCATGCTTTCCAGTGGTTAGGGTTTAGGGTTTAGTGTTTAGGGTGTAGGATTTACAGTCTTTTTCGGGTTTACAGCGTCTATAGGGTTTACAGGGTTCACAGGGTTGATATGGTTTATAGGGTTCATAGGGTTTATGGGGTTTACAGGGTTTGCAGGGCTTGATAGGGCTTGATAGGGCTTAATAGGGTTTAATAGGGTTTATAAGGTTTACAGGGTTTATAACTAAACCCCAAACCCCAAACCCTAAACCCTACACCCCAAACCCTAAACCCTAAATCCTATAGGATTTAGGGAGCTCTGGGTCTGCTCGGGTCGGTACTCCTTGTCAGGACTCATCGCCTCCGCGCGCTGCAAGAAGCATGGCTGCATGTCGGGACCTGGGTTTAGGCTTTAGGCTTTAGGGTTTAGGGTTTCGGGTCATTGCATTCTGGAGGCCCCCTCGAATCCTAAACCCTGAGCCCTCCAAATCCTAAACGGGATCTTGTCCAACATGCAAATTTAATCCTAAACCATCCCTACAGGTAGAAAAGTAACCCGCTAAAATCCTAAACCCCAAGACGTGCCCGATGCAGCTTGCCAGCAAAGGAAAGCGGGATCACGAAGCCAAGGACCGGCGACAGCTGCAGACACCACAGAAAAGTGCCATGATGTCTTCTGGTTTGCCATTGCCATGTCTTCCTGACATATCTACGGATATCTGCTATTATCTTCTACAGAACAATCTGCAGAATTAAAGAGGGCCCCCAGTGGGGACCCCTCCTTGAATCGATGGGTTAGTCGCAGAAGCTGTCTTTGAGCGTTGCTGGCTTTCATGCGTTGCCTCGACGGAGGTGAATCACGATGACAAGACAGCAAAGAAGAAGAGGAAGAAAGAGGCGTGAGATGCGCAGCAAAAAGGAAAGACCGCCCAGCGATTCGACGATTCGTGCAGCTCAGATGGCCTTGAATAGCGCATCAGCATCGTCACCATCATGCCTATTCTGCTGGCAAGCTCTAAGTCGGTCTGTTGCGACATGCTGTTCGCAGCTTTCTGAAAGAGAGAGGTCAACAGCAAAGGTGTATGAAAGCAGAGAGAAAGAGGTCGAACAGGAGAAGAAGAGAGAGACATACTCTAACTTTGAAATATGAGGATGCGGAGCTGCAACCCTAAACCCTAAACCCTGAAACCTTCCCCGAAGTGCCCACACCGCGGAGGGACGGGGATGTTGGCCATGTGAGCTGCGGGCTATGGCAGCAGAAGATGGAGATTCCGATTCGGACACACTTCCGCCCTTGTTTGATGCCGACCCCCTGCAGTTCTCCACGGCGCCTCAGCCCCAAACTCTGGCGCGTCGTGATGGATGGAGCGTCATCGAACAGGCATCTCAGGATGGAGGGTGCATGCGCTGGATGGTGTGTGATACCGCTTTGTCTCTTGATCAGACACGTGTGGAACTCACTCCGCCAGATCCGCAAGGCCAGCGCCAGTTTGTCCGCAACAGCTTGCGGGCAACGTCCCATCAAATCATGGCATTGGCCGTCGCTGTGGCTCTTAACTCCAGTTCCGATTCCCAAGTCTTGTGCGTGCTGGGTGGTGGAGGAATGGCATTGCCCATGGTGTTGGTGACTCACGTCCATTCTGCATGGGTGCATGTGGTGGAGCTTCATGACGTCGTTGCATGAGGCAATTCGAAGGTGTATTCAGTAGGTTTAAAGGATATGGCCAGATACTGTAGACAGAAAGCTGCCGCCTCCCCTGGCATATGAGGTTATCGATTTCGCCGTCAACTACTTCGGGGCGTTGCACACACGACTTCGTGTAGAGCAAGGTGATGCAATTAGAAGGGTCCTGCAAGGAAGCCTCCCCAAAGATCTAGCCGCTCTTGCAATTGACATTGATTTCCTTCGTGGAGAGACTCCTCCAGAATTCCTGTCCGCGGAGTTTTGGAGAGCTCTCTGGCTGTCGATGTTGCCTGGTGCCATTATTGCGGTCAACACCATTGGAGGTGAAAGAGCAGATGTGCAAGCCTTGGCTCGCTTGGCCGTTTCAGCCTGCTCCGAAGAGTCTGAGATCGGTGCATGTGTAGTCGAGCCTGGACAGAGCGATCGCAAAGTTTGGACTGCACTAATTCCACGACCAAGCGTGCTCTTGCTTGGCCTGAAAGTCGTGCTCTCAAAGATGGAGGGCGCGCATGCTGACCCCTGCCTTGAACAGCGCTTGCCGAGCTGGGTCAGGCCAATTTCACTTGATTTGATGAAAGCCATGGTGCAGAGAAGCTTGACGGTTTCCTGGCTGGAACAAAAAGTCTTTATGCCATTGGTTTGAGCCACGCCCCGCATGAGTTTGGCTTGTATGGGGCTTGAACAGCTGGGCAATGAAGGACGCCAGTGGCCCTGTCGTGCCATGGTTCAAAAGGGGACAGGCGGGGGAGCGACACAGATAGGGCAGCCCCCGCAACCAGAAAGTCTGCTTCACAGAAGGACAATGGACGGGGGTAAGGAAAAAGGGGCAAGGCGGGGGGGAGGAAGGGGAAAGGAGGGGGGGGAAAGCAAAGTCTCCCCCTCTTCTGTCCGCATGCATTGAGGCAGACTTAAGTTGGGGGAATCCCATGATGAGCCAAGGCGAGGGGTGGGGGGTGTAGCGAGGCGGGGAACTGAAGGGGACCGAAGAGGCAAAGAGGGCCTCTGGCGGCAAATGTGGGGCAAGGCGCCGGGCAACTGGCACATATTGCACGCGCACTTAGATGCTTCGCAAGCCTGGAAGAAGCGTGTGAGAACACACTTCGGTGGAACTCTATCAATGCGACTACCGTGAATTTCACACGTCTGTTGCCATGCTCGCTGCCGTGACTTGCATGACAGCCACGTGCGTTCCCGCTGGGTTTCCTTTCGGTCAGCACTGCTCTTGGCCACTGTGCGCGTGAAATGGCAGCACTAGTGAGCTTTTTTGCCAAAGCCATCCTTGTGGTCGATACATCGTCATGCGAACTCATCAAGATCTTTGGCACAAAGTTCTCTTTTGCCTGCCAAGCTGTTCTTGCAGCCCAAGTGCATGTTCGCTTCCTGCTTTGCCGTGCCTCGCCCTGCCAAGCCGAAAAGGACCAAAGTACCCCCATACCACCAACCCCCCATGAGCCAAAGTTTGTTATGATTTCGTAATTAAACGAATGTTAAAACCTTGATTCATTGCTGATACAGGGTTTGATATAATTGATTTGCAAGCCACATTCCTGCTTCCTGGACCGCACACATGTGGGTGTGGAACCTGCTGCCGTCAGCCATTTAGCTATTACGATGTGGCCCGCATGCCCTTCACGTCCCGGGCATTGTGCACCACCATGGAGAATGCAGGCAAGCCAGTACTGTAGTCGAAGATGTTGGCTTGGTAAGCCGCCTTGTCTGTTTTTTTTCGATGGTGCGCACGTCTGAACTGTGGATCAGGAGCAATTCGGAAGAGTCGGCAATGCGGAGAAGGTTTTCCACTTGCAGAAGACAGGCAAGCCAGTACGGTAGTAGAGAAGATTGGCTGACTTTCGACGGTGTGTACAGTGTACCGACTTTTCATGCTAGTACAATGCCAAGCTGGTGTACGGAGAACCTCCCCCCATTGCCGAAAGCAAGCAAGCCAGTACCAACGTTACCTCAGCGAAAGCAAAGACGCCCGAACTACTCGGGGTTTCGGAGCTCTCGGAGTCAGTGCCTTGGCTGCGTTCTAGCAAGTTCATTACGAAGGCGAGCGTAGTTACGTAGGAGTCATTTTTGGGGGGTCACTATTTCGGATAGAGTCAAGTATTTGGGTGGGGAGGGGGTGGGGGGTCAATATTGATAGCATCACAGGGAACGGGGTCAATACAATTGCGGATAGCATCTGTAACATAAACGGCAAAACACGATGAAATGTCGAGACGTGAGGGGACATATAAGATTAACAAGCATGGGTGTTGTACGCGAAGCAAAGATGCGCAAACAGATGCGCGAGCACAACGCGCGCGCACAGCAGTTGCCAAGCAGACACTGCAAAACTAAGGCATAGTGTATGCGTGTTTCGACGCCATGAAAGGTATCGTTTTTTTTGGCGCTGGCCCAAGCGACGTGCAAGAAAGTGCTGAAAGTTGTGGCAGGCGTAGTGAATTGGCGATTTCGCAAACCCACGATGGAGAACTCCGACCGGAAACAAATCACCAGCAGGCCAACAAGGCGAAGGCTCAGCCGGCGAAGTGCACGACCAAAGGTGCGGATCGTGGGAAGGCGAGGAGAAGGGCAAGAAGGGCAAAGGCAAGGGGAAGAAGCGAATGCAATTTCTAGAAAGGCACTTTTCCTGACGGAGAACGTATCCATTCGTTTGTATCTTTCCCGGCGATTCTTAACGAAGAAGATATTCTACATTCGTGGCGCCCTATGGGAGCCACTTTAGGAAGAGGGTACTCCCTTCTTGTTTGCAGATTTCCCAGCCTTGGGTCTTCCTGTAAATCGTGCGGCACAGCATCACATGGCTAAGAATACTCTCCGTGTCACAGGAGATCTCACTTGTGCTGTGCCTCCTTGTGGGCACAGACTTTCATGTCAATTTCTCATCAGGTAGCACGCCTCCCCGCTGGAAAGGCATCTCGTAGACTGGTCACGGAAACATCTCAACAGGGGGGATGAGGGAGGGAGGAGGGCGGCAGGAGGAAGGAAAGAGGGGGTAGAGCATTTGCTCACTGACCCGGGCAGTCTCTTGCTTGTGCATAAACTACCCTAGGCCCTAAACCACAACCCCTAAACAGTGCCTGGCGTGAATTGGGGCTAGCTTTTGCTGGCCTTGGCCTGGCCCTCAAGCCATATGAATTTAGGGCATGGTTTCTTGATTGAAGCGTTGGAACGCAAGAACAATGTTGGCGAAGACAGAGTGTCCAGTGGTTTGTTTTAGCAAAGGATCGCAGTCTTCTTGTGCACCGAACAAATGCGATGCTAAGGTCCTGATGGGCTTCCGTTCAGCAAATCCTGAGCTAACGTTCATTCAGCAGATCCTGATCGGACGGTAAGGATCCAAACAGGACTGCTTTGCAGCTTCCTGCAAGAAGGGGCCCATCCTCAATTTGAGGCATTAAACCTGCAAGAAAGGGGCAAACTGCAGCTGCCTTTGGGGCAAGCCGTCACCACACCCCCTGCCGCCTGAAAGTGATCGGTGAATATCGGCTGCCGAGTCGCGCGTCGCCGCCAGCTTCATTCATTCGTCACCCCTTACCCCCTGCATCCTCAATTTGAGGCATTAAACTTAAACCTAAGTTGCAGCTGCTGTTGAGGCCAGCCTTCACCCCCTGCCGCCTGAATGGTTGCAGGCTGAAGCTGCGATCGGCGAATGTCGACTCGAAATCGGGCATCGCCGCTTCTCTTGCAAAATACATCAGAATACCCTCGGCTTGAGCCGGTAGGGCGGTTTATTCGGAGCCTTCCAAGACGACCGTTCAAAAAGCTTTTCACAAAGGAATGTTTCTTCAAAACTCCAGAAGCAGCTATCAGACAAAGCCAACAGTCGAACGGAAGCCCGGAGCCTGCTCTTTCCCAAACATCCCCATCAGTACTGAGCAAGTCCATTTCGGATGCAATTTTGGATTTCTGACACTCAAAACCACACTTCCCAAGTGAGAATACACTGAGGGCAGGAGTCACATCACCCCCCCCCTCCCTAAGTGTCACCTTGCAGCGCCCCCTGGGCAGCTCGCTGCGTCGCTGCCCTGTGTCTTGAACTGGCCGCATGCTTTCCTCATGCACACGCTTCAGTTCCCAGAAACTCTGCATCCCCGATTTTGATGCGAGAAAATGCCCGGGCTGTTCGTCGCCTTGCCAGTTCGCATGCTCCCGGCGGGTTGGAGTCACCCTTTGTGGCTCCATCCAGTGTCTTACACAGGCCTTTGTGTTTTCCTCCACTCTCGCTTCGCAACTGCCCACAGTGCCTGCGTCCCTGCGTCCCTGCGTCACCCATTAGTCCATGGTGTGGCTAAGCGTGGCAGGAGCTTCTGCTTGGCGGAGGTCAAGCTTCTGACAGCGGCTGGACAGACTGGCTTGTGACCTGTGGAAAGCGTGCAAAGTCAAGACTTTGTGCCTGTTTGCCTACACAGGCCCCTCAGCCCCAAATATGTGCCTGCGAAGCACCGGCGTGCCAAGCATGGCTGAGACGAGCCCTCTGCGAGGCAGCAACACGCACACAGCAGCCGTCTTGCCATCCTGGACAGAGACACGCTTTGCTAGCATCTGCAAAGCTACTGCCTAGAGGGCCTCGATTCTTTGATGGTCTGCGTGCTGACTGTGTCATCGGTGCCGGCTTGCCATGGCTTGCCTAGCATAATCCTGCTCCTGCCGCTACCATGCTCGCCCTGTGCCAGGGCGCCAGTAGCCCAAAGAGAAGTTGACGGGACATACACCGAGAAAGATTAGAACGACTCGATAGCCAGTGAGTAGCCCACACATTTGCTTCAGCAGCCCGCAGGGTTCAGCATCTGGCCTCTCTTGCACGCGCATTCTGGCGCAAACTACTCGAAAACTGTAGATCATGGGTTGACCAAAGGCTCGACTTGTCACAGGATGGAAAGTATAACTTCATCCGGCGTCGCAGCATCTGGGTGTCAGCAGTTCCGCGCGCGACGCGCAGCCAATGCCTAGCCCCAAGTCCACAAACCCATGCTCAGGCATGGACGCTTGCATGCCTTCTGCTTGCCTCGGAAAGCGATAGGGGTTACAGTACAGCGATATTCTGATCAGTCATCTGTACGGCTGCAAATCCTCGAGAATCGATAGGGGCCCACCAAGCATGTTGCGCAGTGTTCAACGAACACAGGGCTTGGTCAGCCACTCATCTAAAAGCAAGTGAAAACTGCGCAGCACGTGTTCGAGATGCATCTGCTTGGAGTCACGCGTTCCTCTGTTCTGATTGCACGTGTTGAGTCCTCGATTTCGCTGGATGTACGTGGGCTCTCTTCCTCACGTTGCACGCACAATATGGGCGCGGCTCAACAGTCTAGGTATGTGGCTGCGGCTCAAAAGTCTAGGTATGTAATTGGCTCCCGGGCGTCTTTCCGCGACATAGGGTTTGTAACAAAGCCGTTATGCTTGCGACAAGCAGTCCGCGACAAACCTCCGCGACAAGCTCCGCGACAAGCCTTTGCGACAAGCCCCTTCTTGGAACTGCATGGGTTTCGTATCTGTTTTTCAAGACAGCGCGAAACAGCCGCGACAAACCCCGCGACATACGTATGAAACAAGTGGGCGCGACATGCGTATGTAACACCGGCGGGGGGCAGGACACCGCGACATACACCTATTTGGAGGCACATCCAAATAAAAGCG